TAAACCAGTGTGCAAGAGACAAAGATCAGAAAGATGCTTGATAAATAGGAACAGTGATTAATGCATCTATAGGAGAAGGCTGAGAAATAATTACATTATAGAAATGGTAAGAACAATATTAAATACGGATGGAATATAAAAACGGAGAATAAGGAAGAACTGGTTGTCTAAAGATAATGAAGCATGCAAATTAACTGCAGAAAGAAAATAGGTAACAGACCATGAGGAAGACCAAGAGTAAATGGACTTACCAAATCCACAATACTTTACAGTGTCATAGGCTGACATAAACCCACACAACAGTTTAGCACTCATATATAGAATGCAGCTGTCCACAATGTCTGGTGGCAACATGTGAACCAGCACAGGGAACAGAACAGTTCTTCTAATAGTTCAAAAGAAGATTAGTCCAAGATTAGTCTAGGACAGGACTAATGTGTTTGGTTTTAAACATGTTTCTGACCACAGTGTTGTGTCTTAATACAATTAGTGATTCTTCTGCTTCTTCTTCGACAACAAACATTTACTATTTGTGTATTCTCATACAGGTCATGATTAAAAGGTTTGTTTGATGTCTTTTCCAGATAAAATTCATTTCAGTGGTCACACTGACACATCTCTCTCACTACCTCTCTATACCCACATCCCTCTACTAAGCACTTTTCCTGACTTCAAAGCCTGCTGACTGGGACCTTAGTTCATTTAACAAGTGTTTCACTGTTTCTGGGTCTTATAATAATTAGTAATCACAGAAATGAGATGTCTGAGAAAGTCTGTAAGAGTGACCAGAAGTCATAATATCCGCAATAAGCTCATAAGAGGAAAATGTCGGCAGAGAACAATTCAATTGCACACAAAGACCAAAGTTAAAAAAGTAACCAACATTAAATTAATGAATCGACTGCTTCTTGGCATGCCTCACTGACCAGTAACAGTGATTAAGTTACTATCAAATACACATTCTCTGATCTTATCGATTCAAAGTTACAGAACTGAAATACTTCCACATCAAAGTGTGATTTTTTTTTGCATGACAATTATCAGGGATCCAATGCACTCATTTTTCGCATGCTGTTATTTATAAATAAGATAAAAGATGGTCTTACCAGATACAGAGTGCGAGGTTGATTATCTGTGCGGAGATCAGCCACAACACGGAGATTGCCATCTGTGGTTCCAACATCAAAGAATATGTCAGCAGGGTAGATGCCAGTAACATCATAGTTGATCACTCCCTGTATCAAGAACATTAAAGCCATTTCATATGAGTAATTTCTTGAATGTATAACTTCCAATTCGGCAAGCAAAAGCAAGAACTTTCCCTTAAAGTTATACACTCAAAATATGACTTCATTAACTTTAGGTATCTTATTGGCAGCAGCAGTTTTTTTTTAGGAGAATAAATCATCACAATCAACCGGCATCCCCAAAGGAGGAGCTTTAGGTTATAATTGTGATTGGGTTATATAACGTGGCTTAACATTGCATGCTACCAAAAGCCCTGAGAAGAACTTCTGCAGTGTTGATGCGATCAAAGGAGATAAGACAAATACTGTCCTGACCGGTGACAGTCATCTACTGGTGAGCTAATGGGTGCCCCGGTCACTGATGTGCTTTAGGCATCTCACATGTCATCCAGTTTATATAGATGTGACGATATAATGGCTGCTGCCCACCACAATAGTTCACAGTCAGGCCCCAGAGAGGAAGAAGTTCACCAAGGTCAACTTATGTTTGTTAAAACACAGAATCACCTGAAGGTTTTCATAATGTTCTACGATGTCTGAGAAATGAAAACTGACAAAAAAATAGCTGGTCATCCCATCTTAGTACACCCAGGTCTCAATATTTCACAGAAAACAGTTGCATCTACCCTGAAGTTACAGTCCCTAATCTTGTATGTATACATGTGAATGGAACATTAACAAGGCTCCCACAGACATTTATCACAATCTTTCTTATCAAATGCTTCAACAGATAGCACTGGTGATCGTGCCTCTCTCTGAACACCTGCAGCAACAGACATAAAATCACAATTCCTCCACAACTTGTTTTTTTCATATTGTCCATCCACATGAACACTGTTTCCTTTTACATATTTGTCTATACAAAAATGACCAGGAGGTCTGGCTAACACTCAACACACTGGGGAAAAGTGAGATGAATATACAATCAGACTGTTACTGGTTCCATCAGAATTGGAACTCTGAGCTTGTTGCTGAAGATGGGGATGAAGTGCTTAGGGGAATGTACTGAGTGCTATGATGTCAATTCATAATTAAACATGTCTATCTACAACTGACCTATGGATATAGTTGTTGGTACTGCTTTCTGTGTTTGCCAATTGTCTAATAAATCTAATATGCCTGACAAGGGAGAAACAAACTGTGATCTCTTGCCTACCTGTAAATTGCTGTCTGTAGCCCGTATGCCCTGAAGTATGGTGCTGTTCACTGGCTGTGTGTCATTAATGGTCACAGTGTATGAGTTCTGTGAGAAAAGTGGAACTGAGCCATCTCTGGAGAGAGTGATATACACAGTTTCCGTGGCAGTCCGTGGAACCAGGGGTCTATCAGTTGCAGTCACAGTAAACTGCAGAGAGGAAAACCATATTAGGAGATTGTTGATGTCAGTTTTTGATACAACTAGTATGTGGATGCTCTAGTCAGATAGGGAATTAGAAATATCATTTCTTTTCAAATTTAACAATGACTGGTTTAGCCAAACAAATGCTAGAAAGTTATTTATATACCACAAAATAAACACATAACCAAATGCATAGGACAAGTGTTGGGGGAAGTAAAGTGAATCTTAACCCTTTTGCTGCTGCGCCCTCCGACAGCCAACGTAACCACTGTGCTAAGCCAGGCGAGAGCTAATCTTTCCCCCTGTGCTGAATACCATTTTTTCCTTCAAAAGCAGAAGACCCGCTTGCATCACGGGGTAAAATTTGTACACCTAAAATAAAAAATCGTTGAAGGCGTGTGGTTGAACTTTGCGCTGACAAGTCAGACGCGCTATTACTACGCCATGAAAACTCATTAACAAAAAGAAAACACTACAAACTTGCAAAGCAAACACAAAACACTTTAGTAAGCAAATACATGGTTTTTATTATTATTAATAATATCTTTGTGTGTGAAATATTTCAAAACATGGTGTGACACACAATGCCAAATCACATTCCTTGCACATGTATCTGGTTTCCCGTCGTTTTTTGCTTTTTTGCGCATACCATAAAATTTCTTGTTGGGAATTTTTTCTGCGATGTTACGGACTCTATTATTGAAGGGAAATGCCTTTGTACTAAACAAAGTGGCAGATCTTCACTTTTTTGTCCTCCTACACTTTTTCTCTTTTCCTTGCAATATTTCTGTAGAATTTCTCTTACTAACATTAAGTGAAATTCGGCAACAGGTGTGTTTTTCCCCACAACAACTTTATATAATGAATGTGCACAGTACACCAACCACGCTTCACAAAGGAACAGGATAACGTGTAAAGCATCTTAATCCACCTGAACGCACGTGACAGGATGTTTAATTAATTATTACTTCGGTGATCTGTTGCCGAAAATGCTAAGAGCTTAAATTTAAAATTTTCATTTAAAATAATTAATTTTTTTTTTAAACGGCATGTAGGGGCTGAACGCTGGACCTTTCGATTGTAAGGCAGACGTGATACCAACTACACTAAAAATTCACATGAAACTATGAACTGAAAAAAAGACCAGTATTGTACACTTTAATAGACAAACACATTTATGTCAGTTGTATAGTATATAATTAACATTAATATTAATCATCACGTCAGTACGTGACCATATCTTTATTTTGATTATTTTGGATCCGTTTCAAATCCATTCGATGTAGATAGCTAGGTCATATGGTCACTGGTCAGTCTTGTTCACAGCTAGAAGTCCACGTGTCCGCTGGCGTGCTGCGAAGATAACCCAGCTCATATAACTCACACATTTCAAAGTTATCCTTACTACTACTCCTTGAAAGAAACTCCATTAATTCTTCTTTATTTAAACAAATGTTCTTGTTATTTTGTATTAAAAAAAAAAAAATTTAGACTAACGCAAAACCAGAAATATATTTCAGGGCAAAAAAATTACCGTTCACCGACAATGCTTCTATGGTAACAAAGCAACAGGATAACGTGAAATGCATCTAAATACGCCTAAACTCACTTGATAGGGGTTTTAATTGTATGTAAACTGGTCAGTTTGATCAGATTAAGGTAATGTGTATTGCTATTTCACCCCTAAGAATTACTGTTCTTAGCAATCTGTAGAAAAATGTTATGGACGAGATATCTCGTCCTTAGCAGTGAGGGCACAGAAAATGGCAGCCAAGTTATCTCGTCTTTAGCAGTCTGCCTGGCAGACGAGTTATCTCGTCCATAGCAGCGAAAGGGTTAAGCTTTAAAAATATAAAAACTAGCAAATCACCAGGAAATAGATAAAACAACCAAGAGAGAAAAATGCTTTTAAAGTAGGAAGTTAGTAAAGAAAAGCACTGAAAGAACAGACAAAATATAAATAATATACAGATCAAAATATAACATTTATATAAAATAAAGTTATGCTTGATCTGAGTATGGGGGATACAACGAGACAAAGGAATCAGTAGGGAAGAAAATATAAATACGAATGACTAAGCTAACAGGAACAGCTACAAGAGCTCAAAACAAGAATTTCAAAAAGTACATAATAAAAAGCTAAATTTTGATCACATGCAGAAAAAAAAAAATAGAAAGAAATATGAATGCATGCCATAAAGACAAAATCAAAATAAAGAAAAGAATATGCAGTTCCTCATAATGAAATAGCATCACTAACAATTTTTAATAAGGCTCATAAAGCTGTGATTAGGGAGTTTACTGGAAGAAGATAAAGAAGAAGAAGAAGCAGATGAAGAAAAAGAAGAAGAAACATGTACCTAATGGAATAATAACAAAACACATACACAAAGACACTAGTACAAATATAATACCTGGAACTGAGTCTGTGATGGTGGGAGACCTGTGAGAGAGTTAACCAAATACATGCAGCCAGAGGAACCATCCAGGAAGATGTAGTTGCCTGCATTGTCATTGCTGGAGATTCTGTATGTTGGAATATCCTGAAATAAAATATACCAACACATGCACAAGATGTCAGATACTTTAGAAACTATTAGCTGCTGGTATCAGGTGCTATAAGGGTAAGCCCATAGATACATGAGCATGAAATTAATCATTCTAATTCATCACTTACTAGATGACGTGTTCAATTCCTTTTATTGCTATCTTTCATTAAATCAGAAGATATTTAAAGATCATTCGTAAGAGTTATCCTGCATGGGCACATAAGTCATCCTTATACCATACCAACAGCTGTCACAGTATATGAGGGCAGCAGGCTAATGAAATATGGAGAATTGGAGATGACACATACATGTAATTATACAGAGAACCACAGCTCCCTATAATAAATAACGGGGAGTAGGCAGACAAGGATGTGGACACAGTAAGCAACTTTAGGGCCAGAAAATTTAGGTGCTCTGACCACATAAAAAGTCATACAGCTCTGTGTTAAATGATGTGCTGGAGGTGAAGATAATGCTTGCAAAAGGAAAACATTACAGGCCGGTAGACAACACCAAGAAGATATTGGACAGACAATGATGGGGACTCAAATCACAGATGACCTTCACTGTAGAGGTGAAAATGGGTGTTGTAGTTGACAGCATTGTCATTGCTGGCAGTGTTAAGATGGCATATGATGATTATGAGTCCCCTACCTGACAAGGAGGTTGTAATGTGAGATCCAATGACTACAGCAATCCCTGGTAAACACTGTAACACAATCATAAGCCTGCCCATAAAGTTTAACTTTTTTCAAGTTTCTTTACTTTTGTCCTGCCCTCACTCTTTTTCTAGATATACTTTACAGTTAACCAGTGTCAAAGCCAAATTGACTGTTCTATTATCTTTCTGCGTATTGTATTGACTGTTCATCTGTCTGTTTCTTGTCACTCAGATAATTTTAATGGCTGTTCATGAATGCAAAGTGATATTTTTGCTGTGATCCTAAAGTTACTAGGACGATGTTCTTGGTAACAACATCTCTTTATAAATGTGTTGGCTTATATACTGAAGGCTGTTGTAGCCAGTTCCCTTTGGTGTTTTCACTAATGTCTAACAAGGTTGTTAGTTGAGTCATAATGAGTGACAGCAATATTCACACGTATGCATCTTGTTGTAAGAACAATATCTTCAAGTAGCACCTTGCTGTCAGAACTATATTTACAAGTATGCATCTTGTTGTGACAGCTGTATCTACAAGTGTGCTTTTTTGTGTGTGTGTGTGTGTGAAAGATACATCTACAAGTGTGCATCATTTTGTAACAACTACATCTACAATTGTGCATCTTGTGACAACAATATCTACAAGTGTGCATCTTGTTGTAACAGCTACATCTACAAGTGTGCATCTTGTTGTGACAGCTACATCTACAATTGTGCATCTTGTTGTGACAACTACATCTACAAGTGTACATCATGTGACAACAATATCTACAATATAATTACGTCATATTTTATCAAAAAGTTGATAATAATATAATTTGTAAATGTATTCACCTTAAATACTGTAGAGATTAGACAGACAATGTCAGGACATTTTCATAAAAACAAAGAATAATATTAAAAACTAACCCCATCTAAATCTGTGGCCTTGACACATCCAATACGTGTTCCCAGTCTTTCACCATTGCTTGCCACATCAATTGTAAACCGATAAGGAACATTCTGGAAGACTGGACCACTTGGGTTGCGTGTAACAGTAAACCGGATTATTACTGGCAGACTGTGAATCTGGGGCAGTGCTGTGTCATAGGCGTAGACTTCATACTGATGAAATAAGAAGACATAAGACATGAAATGATTTCCACTTCCATATAACTTCTACCTATAACAGAGTGTATAGAAGTCTTTAATCAAGTTAATACTGACTGGCCTCTATACAGGACAAGACGACAAAGGAATAAAATAATGCACACATAAAAACTGGCAACCATACAGGACAAGACGACAAAGGAATCAAATAATGCACAGATAAAAACTGGCAACCACACAGGACAAGATGACAAAGGAATCAAATAATGCACAGATAAAAACTGGCAACCATACAGGACAAGATGACAAAGGAATAAAATAATGCACAGATAAAAACTGGCAACCATACAGGACAAAATGACAAAGGAATAACATAATGCACAGATAAAAACTGGCATCAACAGAGGGCAAGGGATACTGGAAGAAATTAGAAGACACCTTAGAGAAATCAAAGGACACTATAGCTGCACTAAATTAGGACCTATCCCTTCAAGGTGATGGTGCCACCTTGCTGAAGGAGCAGAAGTATCCTCAAATGATGGACAGCTCGAGATCCGCAATAACCACTAGCCTAATGAAGTATCCACCTGGACTATTTACTATATAATCTGGAGATGACACACTACGTTTGGTGTACCTACAACTCTCGGATGCTCTGTAAGCTGGCAAGCACAGAAATATTTGTCATTTTCTCAGTCTTCTGTGAGTGACATACAATACAGAAATAATTATGGATTTTGGTTACTTTGATGGTTTCTTCTTTTTCTTCTTCTCTTCCACCATTTACCTCAGTGAGGTGTTAGGGGAAGATGTAAGGATTGTTTGTGCCCTTTTCCCCGATGCATTTTACAAGTTGGTGTTCATTTTTTTGTTAGGTTGCTCATGATGGTGTCGCTCCATCTCTTGCACGGTCTTCCCCTTGCTCTGTGTTCATTTTATTTCTTCAGCGGGGCTCTCTGTGGCAGCTGGTACCAGGGCATTCTTGTCAGGCGGCCAGACTGATGGTTTCAAAGGTTCTTTAATCAGTTGTTGCTGAGTGTTACTGCTGGCATTATTTTATACTGCTTTTTCAGAGCTGCTGGTTTTACCAGCAGTGTCTGTCCTGTTCATAAACTCTTTGAGTCCCAGGGGGTTTAGCTCACAGGTCCAGCGGGTAGTAGAGAAAGTAATAAAATCAGCGCATCATGTGTTCATTGGGCTTCTAGGTAGGAACCTATGAATGTAGGATGCGTTCTTTGGGACTCAAAGAGTTAATGTTACAGCATCTTTTGAGACAATAGAAAACTTTAGAGAACTAACAACCAGTTCCAATAGCAAATATTCCCCTCAAACATTTATTACAAGGGATCATTTCACAGATTATTCTAAATATATAGAAAATAAGATCCATTCTTAGAGAAATATAAAAACATAGATACAGAGATACAATTACATGAAACTACAAAAATTATGCGGCAACAGAAATTTAGGCTATAAAAATTATAGTTTAGGATATGACTAGCCCAACCTGTTGAAAGAAACAGGATAGACTCACTCAAACATCAGAGGTGGTAGCATGCTAGTAAAATTGTAGATTGAGATACAGTATGACACTTTGACAAATCATACGATAGGTGGTTACCTGACACCATAGAATCAGACTGAGACCACTTAAAATAGTGCTTGTAGCAAGACAGAATCTCACAAAGAGTTCATGTAAAATAATGAGATCAACTATGTTGAAGTATAACAAGATGACAGACCACAAAAAAAGTGACCAGAAGGGACAAAAAAAATGACACAAATAATGAAATGTGACCACACATTAAAAGAAGCAAGGTATAGCAAGAAAATGAAGAGAAAGTTACGACAAATGATAACAGACAAAACAATATGATGTTAGATGAAGTAAAAGACTGGAGAAAGAGCAAAGAGAATAGAAGCCGATAAAAAAAGGAAATGTACAACTCTACCTCATAGTAAGTGTTAACGTCTGTGTTGATGTCTCTAATGAGAGTGATACCACCAGTGACTGTGTCAACGCTGAAAAAAGCGTCACTGCCATTTCTGCCGTTTCCACTATATCGAATTTGGCCCTGTGGAGTTTTCCAGCAAGAGGTTATAGAGTATAAAAAAGTAACAAACAAGTCACACACTACAAAAGACAAACATACAAAATTCAAGCCATTGGAAGCATAGGTTTCCTAATTTCACATTTACAATTTTTGCTTTAATGCTTGTGTATTACAAAGGCCCAGATGATGTAATATATATATTTTTTCCCTGTGTGGGTTCTGGGGCGGCCCTGTTGTGAGGGAAAATGAGAATAGACCCACTGCCTGCCCAAAAGCATGTTGTAAAATTTGACTAACTGGGTGCTTCCTTCAAAGTCAGAGTACATCTGCCTGAGGGGCAGGGAACCAACAGTCTGCATGCAAATGAGTCAGACCTGTAAAACAGATGTACACACAACACTCAGGTTCTTGAACAGGACTAGAGTCCAGAAGTGGATGAACAACCAGAACTTTCCGCCTGAGTTTACAGCTGGTAAACGCGAAGAAGAAGAAGAAGAAGAAGATAATTAAAAAAAATTATATATATATATATATATATAATGTATATATCAATGCAGCAGTCCTGAGTTTACTGTACAACCATGTTTAATCAGTTTATATCAAATCAGTTCTACTTTTGCAACTCTAGTTTCAGATATTTGTGTGTGTATACATGTGAATGGATTGGTAACTTATTACAAACAAATATAATAAATCAACATGAGCTTGACAGCCAAGCTAACTAAAACTATTATTTAAAAAAGTATTTCTTAATGACTCTCTGAAGAAAAAAGAAGGTAGCAACAGTAAACATACAACTATAACAAGTGAATCCATGGCCAAGTAATGGAGGGTCTTGAGCACAGATTTCAAAACATTTCGTGTTGGTGGTAAACCTTTTTTTTAGACAAACACAGTTTTGCAATACAATGAATAAATAAATGAATCGATCAATAAAGAATTGACATTACTGTACCTGGGACATTTCCACATGTGCCCTGTCCACTCCTTCAGTAGCCAATGAAGAGCTGACATGCTAATCGTACCAGCTGCAACCTGATTTAAATATCATCTAGAACCTCTACATACTCATTGAAACAATCTTTCAATGTATGGATTCTCTACCTGTTCTACTGCATTGTCCTTGGATCGCACATCTACTTTATCATAAAGTAGCTCACCATAGTATTTCAGTCTGGTAGCAAAGCAGAGGTTAAACTAACAGCTTATAAGAGATACAAACATTTACATAAACTGCAATAAATAAATGTTTCACGGAACAACCTATTTCATTAAAACCTTTCATCTAGTTTAAAACTAAATAATATTTTCATTGTTATAATTTATGCTCAGGCTGTGCATCTTCAAACTGCAGCAGACATCAATGTATTGTGACACAGTATGGAAGCTCAGCATTAGAGAATATTATAATGGCTGAAAGAGCAGGTTGAGAAAAGGTAGGCCAGGCTGGAAACAAATGCTGCTGCACAGTCTAAGATAGTGGCCAGGAGGGAATATCATCAAGAGAACTGATCCACAATACCAAGGCTGAGGTGAACGTCAGAACAGAGACACACAAATGTCTACAGCATCAGTCAATTCACATGTTGATGATGCCGATAATAAGGATTATATTTTATTAGTGATTGATACTCTTGTCTTTAACAGGTATGTGTTAGCATCATGTGTAAAGATAAAACAAACTATTTCCAGTTTAGTGTGCCACATAACAATTCACAAACATCTCTTACCCTAAGGTCATCATCGACAGCTGTCACATAACCAACAAGCTTTCCACTTATGTCAGTCTCACCCAGGACCACAGTCAATGAACTATTGACAATCCTTGGCATCTTGTCTCTGATGGTATTCATTGTGGCACTAATTGTACCCACACGTTCTGGACTGCGGCGATCCGAGGCCAAGACACTGAACTGCAGACACAGAACAAGAGGAATAAATGTGAAAATTAAGTATTACACTTCAGTGACGGCAACACCTGTTTTCCTACAGCTGCTAAGTGTCAAAACAATCAATATATACATGTTTAATACAGTTTCGTCCTTTTGAGGATGAATTTTTTTGTTATTTGAAGCCCCACCCTAGCTTTTGCCAAGGGCAGCAATATAGGCAGGCCATAAATATGGCCACTTGTCTGAACGCCGTTTCTGGGACCTCTCCACGGCGATCCTCATCCACATGGTGGCACTATGTGTCATCAGGTGTTCAGTTGTGTGATGTTCTGGTGGGGTAGAAAGTCAGTCAGTCAAAACAATCGAAACATCTAAAAGTATTATGAAATTACAGATGCCAGTGGGGCTGTTAATAATGAAAAGGTGATTTGATGATCAAGATAAACAGCATTTTTCAATACTTTAGGATATTGAGAAACTCGTCAGATAGTTGTAGGTATAGAAAGAACACGCGTTTGTATTTTGGATAGGAAACAATAGTCCATATTTTAAGAAACAATTATTTTATATTTGTGGGTACAACAAATAATGGTTAATGTTTCTGAATTAAGGTAACAAGGTTCAAATTTCTGGATACATGAAATAATAATTTCATGTTTTTTGGGTACATGAAACAAGAATTTAATATTTTTGGATACAAAAATAATGGTTCATATTTTTGAATTTCAAGAAATAATGGCTATATATTTTGGATGCAAGAAATAATGTTCCATATTTTTTAGATTCAGGGAAAAATGGTTTTATGTTTTTGGATACAGGGAAGAATTGATTAACATTTTTGGATATGCAAACAATGGTTTCAAAGAATTTGAAACTTTTTTTTTTAATTCGCTGCCTTAAATATAACGAAAGTGAAAACCTACATCTTATCTGAACAGAAAACAAAGGTAAAAGATTGAAACATCTCCTGGAATATTACCAGTATCACTATGGTAAGTTAGCAAACAACAAGTCATGTGTACAAAATCTTACCACAAACTGGTTGCGTGCCGTCTCAGACAGAGGACGTTTCACAGTCAATACTCCAGTTAGATCATCCACATCAAAGAAACTCACAGACTCAGCATCACCAGAGATGTAATATCGGACAGTGTCCTAAAACATGATTATAGTTAAACATTATTATAGTAAAACATGATGATAGTAAAACATGATTATGGTAAAACATGATTATGAAAAAGCCACATCTGAGCATTACCATGGGAAAAATGTATTGTTAATAATGAGTTAGTTAGTTAGTTAGTTAGTCTTTCCTCTTGTGTCGAGTGCAGCACATAGGGCAGAGGTCATGACTCTCCATGCATGGCGGTTCGTTGCAATCCATTGTAGGTCTTGGATGTTTGAGTGGCCCATGAGCGAGCCTTCCCTGATGATAGTTCTACGTAGAGTTTCCCTTGGTCTTCCACGAGATCTTTTCCCCTGTGGTGTCCAAATGAGGGCTTGGTAAGGAAGTCTTGATTTATCCATTCTAAGGGCGTGGCCGACATAGTTCCAGCGGCGTTTTCGTATAAAGTTAGACACATACTCTAGCCTGGATTCTTGCCTTATTTGTGTATTGGTTCGGAAATCTAATAATGAGTAATATGAGAATAATAATAAAGAATAATCAGAAGATTTCCATCCGCCCAAATAAACATATATTACATAGCAACAAGCTGATAGAATCTGCATTATGAAGGCATTTCAAAACTGACCTCAACTCTCAGAGTTTTTGTCTGAGAGGCAAGAAACCAACAGTCTGCATACAAATGAGCCAAATCTGTGAAATGGATGTGCACACAAAATGCAAGTTCTGGAACAGAACTAGAGTCCAGAAGTGGACAAACAACTGAAACTTGCTGAAGGAGTTTACAGTCGATGAACGCAATGAAAAAGAAGAAATATCCACAATTCTTACATTTGAACCTTCGTATTTCAGATAATCCATTTCACAGATCGTGATATAGATATATTTTTAATTAAAAAAATTATAATCCTATTAATTTTTTCTGGGATATAATTACGATATATAGTATTAAAAAATAATTTAGACAGTGTTTATTAATGTATGCTTAAAATTAACCGATTTATTGTTACTAAGTTTGTGTTGTTAGGTTAGGTTAGTTGCGTTATCTTTTACAGGACATTGCAGAACCAACCCCAGCAGCCCCTGGCTGTTGTGTGATTTCTCTAGACAAATTTACATCCAGTAGTTTGCCATTGCTTTCTGGACGGTTGGCCCCCTGATACCACTGTTGGAACCAATGCAAGGCACATAGCCTGCAGCTGGCATCAAACTCGGCACCCCGGCATTACGAAGCATTCGCATCAACTTAGCCACGGAGCCGACTTTGTATTGTACACTTGTGAAATATTTAAATACTTGCTGTGATACTCAAGTAATCAAGAAAAAAACCCAGTGTGGACGTTAATCAACGACAACAAGACATCAATGCCATGTACTCACTCCATCTGCATCTACTGCATCCAGGTCAGCTATGACGTAGCCGGATGGTTCATACTCATAGACTGACCGGGTAATGCTGGTGGTGTTGAATGTTGGGGTGCTGGGGTTTTTCACCACCAAGATTTGAACAGTACAGTAGCCAACTTTCTGGGGGTTGCTCGAGTCGTACACTGCTGCCGTCAGCTGAAACAAAGAATAACGACAATAAATAATACAAAAACATGATTGAGGTATAATTAAAAGATATTTAATTTCCTCACCTAAAACAGATAAATCCACTCAAATGATTTTATTTTCACAACAGGAAACTAAAATCAATAACAGGCATTAGTTGGGTAAAGACAGGACCAAAAAAAAAACATACATAGTTATATTTATTGAACACAAAAGAACAAAAACAAATAAATATTTATAGACATCTATAGCGATCAACGATAAATGTTTGTTGGTGCCTTTAAAAATAAATACTAGAGTTAATGATTAAAGAAAGCATTCTGTGACTGGTAACTTGATTTTGAATCAGCTGGTTCCTCACTCAGTAATTTACTTTGTCTAACATATCAATGCTCATAGTTCCTTTGTTTGTTCTGCTGGTGACATATTCAAATGATTAGAAGAAGAATACATCATAGGAAAATTTAATCACCAAAAACCAACTGTACATTTCTGGCTCATAAAAGTAATATACTAAAGAAACCTGGTGAATAAATTAAAATAATAAAAATGATCTAATGTATAACCACACAGCCACACACATGCATGCACGCACACAGGCATGCACAGCCCCACACACACACACACACACAGTCTCTCCCCTCCCCCATACACACAGAGAAGGTGAGAGAGTGGGAGGTGAGAGAGGCTATCATGTTAAGAAAGATACAAATAAAGATGAAAAAAAATCACTTAATAATAATAAATATACATACATAAAACTATTGTTGTTAACTCTTTGAGTCCCAGGTAACGCATCATATGTTCATATGTTCTTACCTAGAAGCCCAATGAATGCATGATGTGTCGATTTAAGTCTCTCTTTACTACCCATTGGGCCTGTGCTGCTAAACCCCCTGGGACTCAACGAGTTAAAGAAAATATAAAAATGATTGAGATCTGGTCAATGTGAAATGAGATAAACACACCATGCTATAACATAATGTAGGCATATGTAACATACATTAAAAACATCATGCTTTAACATATTGTAGGCATATGTAACATACATTAAACACATCATGCTATAACATAATGTAGGCATATGTAACATACATTAAATGTCTGGACAGATGTTTCTTTAAGAGGATAGTTGACAAACACTTGTCCTGTGCTATCGATACGGAAGAAAACTCTAGCAACTCCTTCTCCACTTGGTCCATAGATAATGGGATTGCCCTGAGGAAAAGACAGTAAACAATAGATTAGAAGAGTGATCTGAATTTTTTTTTGTGGCTACGACAATAACAATGCAACAACAACAGCTGCTTCTGCTGCTTTTTGTTTACCCTTGACTCTCTCATCTGTTATATTTTTCTACTTATTCTGTCTAAAAGCACCTCATACACAAAAAGTGTACCACAATCTCATTCTAATTCTCTCTGACATCTGGCTGTTAACATTTTAGACTTCATTTCTCCACCTATCTATCAGCATGCAATGCTGAAACGGTTTTATTTGCAACTGAACATTTTTAGTCTGAGAAGGTAAAGGATCCTCTTCTGTGCTTTAACCCTTCTGCCTTGAGAACGCTTGAAAAAATAAACAAAACTGGGACATGAACTCATAACCCCCCCTCCCCCCCCAAAAAAAAATCATTTACAAAACAATAATAATACAGTTTACTAATAAATGTAAGAAAAACATTAAATTTTTCAAATTAAAAAAAAATAGGTGGGAGGGGGAATATAAATATATAAAGGAAGTAATCAATCAACATAAATATAGAAAACGAAGTAACCAGGCAGCCAGTGTGGGGTCTTTACGGGAATGTGGCAAGGATTGATGAGCCAGGTTCAGGCCTCCAGAGGTGACATGGTTAAATAATTTCAGGTACATGATGCCATACTATAATAGATCAACTTAACTCTTTTAGTCCTGGCGGTTTAGCATCAGAAGGCCAAGGGGTGTTAAAGAGAAACATATATTCAGCACATCTTGCATTCACTAGGCTTTTAGGTAGGAACCTATGAACGTATGATGCATTTCCTGGGACTGAAAGAGTATTTTGCTCATGTAATTAATACCACACAGCTACTTCTGCTTCCCAGAACATCTTGTATGTATGACCACTGCACTTGCAGGCATGTGTACAAGTCACTGCACCTCAAAAGCTGCAACTGTTCCTTGTGCTGCTGCATGCACCCAGTCTATCCCCAAGTTAATTCCCTAGTCTCACACACAGTTATTATTTGATTCCCCTCAGAGCCCAACACTGATGCCTTGAAGCAGTAACTGCTCAAACAGCTACAGTGACAACTGCTGGACATTGACATACAGTTCCAGTGCATGCCACAAATCTACATGGACATTGACATTAAGTTCCAGTGCATGCCTCAAATCTGCATGGACATTGACATTAAGTTCCAGTGCATGCCACAAATCTGCATGGACATTGACATACAGTTCCAGTGCATGCCACAAATCTGCATGGACACTGACATAAAGTATCAGTGCATGCCACAAATCTGCATGGACATTGACATAAAGTATCAGTGCATGCCACAAATCTGCATGGACATTGACATAAAGTATCAGTGCATGCCACAAATCTCCATGGACACTGACATACAGTTCCAGTGCGTGCCACAAATCTGCATGGAAACTGACATAAAGTTCCAGTGCATGCCACAAATCGGCATGGACATTGACATAAAGTTTCAGTGCATGCCACAAAACTGCATGGACACTGACATAAAGTTCCAGTGCATGCCACAAATCTGCATGGAAACTGACAAAGTTTCAGTGCATGCCACAAATCTGCATGGACATTGACATAAAGTTCCAGTGCATGCCACAAATCTGCATGGACATTGACATAAAGTTCCAGTGCATGCCTCAAATCTGCATGGACATTGACATAAAGTTCCAGTGCATGCCACAAATCTGCGTGGACAATGACATAAAGTTTCAGTGCATGCCACAAATCTGCATGGACACCTGACATAAAGTTCCAGTGCATCTGCATGGAAATGTGAAAAATGAAAGACTAAACATTAGTCTCCTAAGTAAATAATTAAACTTCATATGACACTTCATATAAATCACAGAATACTTACAGAATTATCAGGATCGGTGGCAACAAATTTAAACAGAGAAACTGTGCTGTTGTCCGCAGCATTTTCTGGAACTGACACAGGGGTGCTAGCAGCACAAGAAGGTGCAGACCTGTCTCGGGTAATTGTGATGATAACAGGTGCTGTGGCAGACTTGCTGGGAGCTCCATCATCGTAGGCAACAACATAAAACTGTAACAACAAGAATATTGTTACTGTAACGACAGTATCTAAAACAATTTGGTATCCAAGGTCAATAACTTTGTCTAAAAAAAACACACACACACACAGTTATCCAATAGTTTGTTTTTATTAGTTCATAGAAAAGCCTGTATGCCTTAAACCTACAAATGACCCAGATGCAAAAGAACTGTCATCTAGTTGAATGAACCCTGCGGTATTCTTGTGTGCAAAATTAATTTTAAAAACATAATGTCAATTAATAGTAAATTGGACAATAACTGTTGTGTCATTAATTCCATAGTAACGTCATTAGAAAAACATAGCATCAGTCAGTGACAATTATCTGTCTTTAATGATGAACTGGTACCAATAATCCGCGCCACAAGCTATGTAGAATAAAATACATATGTTTGTCATTCTTCTTCTTAAAGTCCATGCTGTGTGGTATTGGTAGTCATGCTTTCTGTCTCGTCTACTTTCAGTCAATTCTGACACAGATGATCTTCCATGCCATGATGTCAAACTGTCCAGCATCTGTTCTCTCGGTCTCCCTCTGCCTCTCTTTGCCTCAAACTTTCCTACTGTCACAATGTTATCCAGTTTTTCTCCTTTTCACTGTACCAAAGAATGTAGACAGTCTCTTTCTGATGTGGGCAGTCAGTTCTCTTCGTGAGGTAGTTTCTTACAAGACATCTTCATTGCTCTTGTTATCTGTCCAGGGTATTCTCATCATTCGTATATAAAACCACATCGCCACAGTTTCCAAATAATTTTTCACTTATCTACCAACTGTCCATGATTCACTTCCATATATTAAGATTTAATTTATATAACTTTTAGGAATTCTGGTTTCCTTGTCTCAATTGACATAAAATATTCTTCACTTTGTAAAATGCTGCCTTTGCTGGAGCTTTTCCACATTAAACTTCTTTACATCTTATTTAACTTCTTTGTCATTAGCCAAAAAATATATCCTCAACTTGTTCTCTATCTGACCAGTGTTTACATACTACGAGGCAGTTGCCTCTGTAACCCACCTGACAAATGATTTTTTTTTCATGGTTTTCTTCATTACCTAGCCTGTTTTATATGACAAAACTTCACTTGGCAATTATTGGTGAGGTTTATTGTTGGGGTGTTACTAGTGCAAGTTTTATAGAGATCCCTAGGGATCTTTGCTGGAGCTAGGTAGTTCATGTTTTTTGCAATGCAATAAGCAGGTAACTAGTCAGACTGAGAAAAAAGAACAGGTTCAATGGAATTAACCAAGTGTTAGTCAACTTTATCCTTTGTTCTTCAAACTTTGTACAGAAAAAGAAGTTTGTTGTACAGTAAAAAAAAAAAAGTTTGTTTCCTAACTGTAGATTCTAACTGTAGATTGTTTGACAAAAAATGTTAATCCCGTTGAACCCTGCTAAGAACAGCTTTAGTTGTAACTGTGTTCTAAAAAAGTGTATCCTCATTCTTAATGCTCAATACAGTTGTGTAGACACAGTTCTAGCTTTGACATTTCTGTCCCACAAATGTTGTTCCCTACAATATTTGTGCCTAAAGTGGGGGGAGAGGGAGGGAGGGGGGAGAGACAGGATATGTTACCTGATACTGATCCATGGTGGCATTAGTCAGTGACTTAATCACTCGGATGATTCCATCATTGGAACTGATCGAGAAGAACTCTGAAGCTATGATGCCAGCACTGTCAGGTCGGATGTAAAATCTCACTGTGTTCTGAAATGTTCAGTGATGCAAGAAAAAAAAAGCTGTTATATAAGGTGATTCCTTGTTTAAATATTTACACGTAACATTCAGAATTGAAGCAATAAGATTACACTAACAAAATGACTTGATATCCTAGGTATTGTGGGAAACCAGAAAACAAATATTAAATATAATAACACAACACTGTTACATGAGAAGGTAATGTTACAGCTTATAGGTTAATTAATTTCTGTGAACATTAAAGTAACAATAATTTTATCAAGCTGAAAATTGTAACGGAAGACAACAATTTTGACTGATAACATGTTTCATAAAATAACATACAGAACTTATGATTGTGATCAAATCTTACATTATCAGAGTCAGTAGCCGAAACTCCTATAACACTGACACCCAAGGGGAAGTACTCGCTGACGGTTTTTGAGTACTGTGAAGCTGTCAAGATTGGTGTTCCAGGGTTGTGATCCACATAAATGACAGCAAAGGCAGTAGCAACCTTGTCAGGATTCTGCTCATCAAAAGCATACAGTTCCATCTGGATAAGGTGAAAATAGAATATTATTTTTATGATTTCATTATATGGCTTTTTTGTTTACATTGCATTTATTACATAAAGCAGGGAAACTGGAAGATGTAAGTAATGTATGATATGACACAGGTTAGTGAGAAAGACATTATAAACATCATACAAAACATAATATTTAACAACTTACAAATACATACTGTTAAAAAAATGCTGTTAGGCTTTTTGATAGTGCTTTACTGTTTAAAAAAAATTTAAATCATCATCATCAGGTGCCTTGCCGATTGGCGTGGGCGATCATGCCTCTCCATAATCTGCGATCTCCTGCAGGATGTATCAGTTCGTGTGCCGACATACCTCCATGCCATGCAACAAGACTGTCAAGCATCTTCTCTCGTTGTCTTCCTCTATCTCTTCTTCCACATATCTTTCCAGTGGTCACAACCTGTTCTTTTTTCCCTCTTCTCATAACACAGCCGAAAAATTATGACTGTCTCCTTCTGATGTCTGTGATAAGTTGTCTTCGGGCTCCGGCCTCTTTCAAAACCTCTTGGTTGCTCTTTTTGGCTATCCAATGTATTCTAAGCATTCGTCTGTAAAACCACATCTCCGAGGCCTCCAGAAATTGTTTGGCCTGCCTACCGATTGTCCAGGATTCACAGCCATATGTTAAAACTGGATGTATGTAGCAAGCAAGAACACTTTTTCTAACTCTCAATGACAAGGATATATTGCACAAGATGTTTTTCATTTTATAAAATGCAGTTTTTGCCTGTCCTATTCTGTTTCTTATCTCAGTTATGCATCTTCCATCTGATGTTATCCATGAAAATAAAGAAGTTATTCAATGGCACACTTTTAATAGTTGTTCAGAAATCCTGATTGCCTAAAAAATATCAAGGATCCAGGTGTAAAGTAACTGTCAACTGATTGGTTGAATCCTAAGGTATTCATATGTGCAGTTCAAACAATTTCACTCATTTAATTACAAAGATTTTGAATGTCAAAATTATGTTTATTTCAGTAGCTATGCGTTTTTTTTGCCATTTTTATTATTTTTTAATTTTCTTTTTTAATTGTAGGGCACCATGTATTTTTTTTTTTTAAACAGTATGTAATACGACAGCCATATAGTCACCCAGTACAGTAATTTGTAAAACGTAACATATTCTAAAAAAACTTCAAATGACACAAATAATACAAAAAAAGCAAATGTTGTGTATGTTTAAAAAAAAAAAATGTTCAGTACAAAACAGTTTACATTATTAAGCTATAATATGAACACAAAGTTTTCAGCTATAACTATTTTATATAATATTTCACATTTGAAACTTGGCTTAAGACTAATTTTAAACATACTTTAAAGTAAAACAAACATGATTTTACAATTTAAAAAAAAAGCTCAAACTGACTGCTGTTTCCTTTAAATATATTCAAGTCAATGTACACTAGTTTGCAAAGAAGAAAATAACTTGCAAAAAAATGTCCTGAAGTGCATGTGGAATAATCAAAAGACTAAATATGTCCTGAAGTACAGAGGTAGTCAACAACAAAAAAACTACATATGTCCTGAAGTACAGAGGTAGTCAACAACAAAAAACTACATATGTCCTGAAGTACAGAGGTAGTCAACAACAAAAAAACTACATATGTCCTGAAGTACAGAGGTAGTCAACAACAAAAAACTACATATGTCCTGAAGTACAGAGGTAGTCAACAGCAAAAAACTACATATGTCCTGAAGTACAGAGGTAGTCAACAACAAAAGACTACATACGTCCTGAAGTACAGAAGTAGTCAACAACAAAAAACTACATATGTCCTGAAGTACAGAGGTAGTCAACAACAAAAAAACTACATTTGTCCTGAAGTACAGAGGTAGTCAAGAACAAAAAACTACATATGTCCTGAAGTACAGAGGTAGTCAACAAAAAACTACATATGTCCTGAAGTACAGAGGTAGTCAACAACAAAAAACTACATATGTCCTGAAGTACAGAGGTAGTCAACAGCAAAAGACTACAGATGTCCTGAAGTACAGAGGTAGTCAACAACAAAAGACTAAATATGTCATGAAGTAGAGAGATAGTCAACAACAAAAAACTACAGATGTCCTGAAGTACAGAGGTAGTCAACAACAAAAGGCTACAGATGTCCTGAAGTACAGAGGTTGTCAACAACAAAAAACTACATATGTCCTGAAGTACAGAGGTAGTCAACAACAAAAGACTACATATGTCATGAAGTACAGAGATAGTCAACAAGAAAAGACTACATATGTCCTGAAGTACAGAGGTAGTCAACAACAAAAGACTAAATATGTCCTGAAGTACAGAGGTAGTCAACAACAAAAGACTACAGATGTCCTGAAGTACAGAGGTAGTCAACAACAAAAGACTACAGATGTCCTGAAGTACAGAGGTAGTCAACAGCAAAAGACTACAGATGTCCTGAAGTACAGAGGTAGTCAACAACAAAAGATTATATATGTCCTGAAGTACAGAGGTAGTCAACAAAAAAAGACTACAAATGTCATGAAGTACAGAGGTAGTCAACAACAAAAGACTACAAATGTCCTGAAGTACAGAGGTAGTCAACAAGAAAAGACTAAATATGTCCTGAAGTACAGAGGTAGTCAACAACAAAGGACTACAAATGTCTTGAAGTACAGAGGTAGTCAACAACAAAAGACTAAATATGTCCTGAAGTACAGAGGTAGTCAACAACAAAAGACTACAAATGTCCTGAAGTACAGAGGTAGTCAACAACAAAAGACTAAATATGTCCTGAAGTACAGAGGTAGTCAACAACAAAAGACTAAATATGTCCTGAAGTACAGAGGTAGTCAACAACAAAAGACTATAAATGTCATGAAGTGCAGAGGTAGTCAACAACAAAAGACTACAAATGTCCTGAGGTACAATGTAACAGTACTTACTGTGTAATATGGAGCACGAGTTTGATCAGTTTGCAGGGACCTGTTGACTGAGATCATGCCCGTATCCCGGTTAATGCTGAAGAAACTGAAATTGCTCGGAGCTGTCAGAGTGTATTTTATGCGTTCCTGTTTTTGATAGAGAAGATATAAACAGGTAAATTTTCTTATACGCATACATTAAATCACATTATAATCAACTGTATTATCAGGGCTCACAAGAAAAGAAAAGATTAGTAAAGAAGTAATCTACCATGCATGAGGCAAACTGATGTGAGACAGACCCACCATAACCTGCAGAAAACTTCATCTGCAAAATCATATCAAACAAATGGCTTACAGTGAGCTGGGTGACAGCCTATGCTCTAGTGGGAGATAACAGAAGATAAAACAATATTAAAAACTATATTCTTAGTTCAGGTGTATTTAAAAAAAAAAATAGAAATGAGCTCAACATATGCTATCTTATGTGTTCACATATCTGTTGAGTAGTTCAGACATATTAAACTAGTAGGCAACTGTCAGTCCCTGGGGACCATGGAACTGTGAGCTGGTTTTAGGAACAGTGCTATGACTGTACTACACCTGTCCATGGCACTTGCCTGGACATGTTTAACTGGAGTACAGGCTGTTGCAATATTACACACCATACTGGTTTGAAGAAGATAGTAATAGCAGGTATGGTTCTTAGAAGAGGAGACAGGAGTTGACCAGTTTGCTGGTTGACACAGGATATCAAGAACACCCAGGGCAAGAAAGTAGCAGGTATGGTTCTTAGAAGAGGAGACAGGAGTTGACCAGTTTGCTGGTTGACACAGGATATCAAGAACACCCAGGGCAAGAAAGTTTGGAGCGGGAAAGTTAGCAAGGGACTACATGATTTTCCAGTATTCTGTGATGTGAGGGAGCATTGTGAAAAGGACCTGCCCCATGCTGATGATCTGCAATCTCTTAGACATTCCTGGTGATATCTGATAGGTGATTACATATTTGAATTAGTTCTCAATTTTGTTGATAGCTTTCAGTTTTGACTTTTTCCTTTCAAAGGTTAACTTTCCATGCACCTCAATATCAAACACAGTGAGCCTTCCTCATCTGCAATGTACAATGCTTGTATTGAACAAAAAGAGAGGACAGGAATAAGAAAACAATGTCAGTGGACTAAAATGCACCAATATGAAACAATAATAAACTGTACATGCATGCATAAACATACACACGCAAATGTCTATGCAGGACTTACAGGATTGTTAGGAATGTCTGGATCATTGGCTTTGGTCGGCAGCACGTCTGAGCCCACAGCCTGGTAGCTAGTGATGGTGATAGTGTATGTGGACATGGTGAACTGAGGTGGTTTATCAGAATCTACTTGTGTGATGTAGATAGTAACCATGGCGTTGCCTGTCTTACCTCTGGTGTCTCTAACAGTCACAGTTAACTGGGAATACAAACAGCAATTATATATACTCAGGATAACCACAAGTGTACAATTATAATGCCAGCTAATTCTGGTAAAATCATAATTTCAGGAAAAAAATCAGGAAATGACTAGCCAACTGGTGTAGGTGATCAAGCTTTTCATCTTGTAGTCTCCAACCAAACATAAAATTGTATGGCTGTATCTGTCCAACTCGTGAGACACTATTCCGTACACTTGAAACAAGTGGAAGGAAACACCCAAATGGTAATGACTATTTCAAAACAACAAGAGCCTTTGTGCTGCTATGTGTTGTACTGTATACAACTGTGCTATTCCTCCATCACGAAAGAGGAAGACCACTTTCATCCAAAGTAGTAATGATCAATGATTATGAGTATAAAGGTGGCTGATAAGTCCAATATGAGCCAGGAAAGTTCTTGAGCAGTGCGGACAACAGATGGAGGCTGCAATAAGTGTGGGGTTAGCAGTACGATTTGTTCTAGTCTATTCTGTTTCTCTGCTTGTGCAACCTCCGCTTCCTGGCAGGCCGATGCACCAATTGTATACTGTATACAGATGTCATGCGAAGAAGCTTAACCACTTCCATACAGTCTAAGAAAAATACTGAAAAATCAAATGGCAAGAAAGGATCCTGGATACAGTTGTATAAAGTTGGCATTCACAGCAGCATCAATACCATTGTGATGCAGTCACAGATTTGATGGGCATGTCATGTCGTCTGCTTGCCATAACATCAGCTCCTAAAAATATTCTTGTATTGTGAAACACAGACACTCTCAAGGTGGGCAGAAAAAAATACAACAACATGCAAAGGCATCACTAAAATCCTTTATACAGACACTTGAGATGGACTACATGGCAAACGTCTGTTCAAACAGGGGCAGTGACCTGTGAGGTTTCAAGAAAAAGGGCAGCTGTACAAGACCTGTATAACAGGCCCTTTACCTATAGACAAAGTTCATTGCTCTCGTTGTCCTAGATCCTTCTGGGCCCGTAAGAGTTGTGCTTATAAGTCACCTCTGGACTCGCAAACTATCAACTTAAGTTTCATGATGGATGAAAGAAAGAGTGATCCTCTTTACTAATGATGGACAAACAACAACACTGCACTGCTATGTATTGTGCTGCTTTGTTTCCCTCTTCACTGAGCTTCATAATCTTAGTTTGTGCTTAAAATGGAACAATTCAATTTTCAGAGACGTCAGAAAAAAGTACAGTACACAACAATCTCTGAACCAGCCTGCTGACTGACTTACCATGTAAGTGTCGGCTGCAACTATCAGGTTGTCTCTGGTCTTGAGAAGATTTCCATCCATAAAGAAGAAGTTTATGCCATTTGATGACACTGAGCTTGTAATACTGTAGGTTAGTGTATCCTGATGGTAGAAAGTGATCTTACTTAATACAGATGAAAAAGTGGTAAATACTATGGATGCATTATAATCTTTACCAATGTATTTTAATTTAAACAAAACAGAATATTATTAATAAAAATGTCTACTTGCACGCAGTTTCAAAGTATGTTCCAGATTTTAAAAAACAGTAGCTGACAAGTTATTCAGGGGAACATTGGACGATGTGCACACATGATGTTAGAAATACAGGGAATTACACCAACAAAATTCACCGTTATTATGTAACAAATCATGTGGCAAGAAAAAATTGCCTGAATGCAGACTAGTATTAAAATAACATATACTTTCATATTTGTAAGAGGTTATTTCAAATAACTTCATAGCAAAAAAGTTGCCGTATGTTGCAGTTTGTGACTGTTTTATTTTCATAATTTTCTTTCTCTGCTGTGCAATGTTTCTTGTTATTTTTAAAAGGTATCTTGGTGAATGACATTCTTGTGAAAAGCCTTCTTTGCTAAGGTTCTTGATGACTTCCTTAGCAGATATCTTTCCAAGTAACATCCATTCTAGAAGCCTCAAAACCAGGGCATTTCATTTATGAGAAACATGGTCTGACTTACATTGTCTGCATCAGTTGCATTGAGAGCAAGGATCACTGTACCAAGGGGTGTTGTCTCAGGAATGGTTACATTATAGGCACTTTGCAGGAAATAGGGAGCAGAAGGATTTCGAGGAATTGTAAAAATGACAGTAGTAGCTGCTGTTCGCCTTGGGTGGGCAGAGTCAAAGGCTATGATTGTCAGCTGCAAGAAAATAAGCAAATATGTATTAGTATAGTTGTGATACTTCTCTTCTTCTTTCTTTTGTCAATATATGCTTATGTTGCTAGACATTGCAGTTTATCAGATGATCGGCAGCCGAACCAGGGCGCACCCACTCACTTGATATGCCTTGATGTTATGCAGTCTCAAGGTGTCAGTGACACCTTCAATCCATCTTCTTTTTGGTCTTTCCCCTGCCTCTTGATGTTTACATTTTCTGGTTGTACGCTCTTGCAGCTAGCATCATTGGTTTCGTTCTTATTAGATGGCCAAATCAATTCATTCTTTGTTCCACAATACATTTGACGGTGGGTGTTGTTCTAACAGTTTTTGTGATTATGTCATTTCTTACTCAGTCTCTTCTGTGTTTTTTCACAGCCACCCTTAAACATATCATCTCACAAGCGGGTAGTTTTCTTTCGTGTTCTTATGTCAACGTCCAAGTCTGACATTGGTAATCTAAAGTTGGTAGAAATATTAGTTGTGATATTTTACACACAAAAATCAGTACTGATGTTACACTACAGGCTGAAACAAATGTTGTGCCCACTATCAATCACAGCTTTCACTGACTGCAACATAAAGGCATGATTCATTTTACATTCTGCTAAACATTTGATGCTAGTCTTATATTTGTGTCGACCAACTGACTATTCTGACGACACAGAACAATTTCTGGGAACTAACTTAGGCTGGATGACCTGAGAGCTGTGCTCACCAAACCTTGTGTAGACCAACTGGCTGTCCTGACGACACAGGACAATTTCTGGGAACTAACTTAGGCTGGATGACCTGAGAGCTGTGCTCACCAAACCTTGTGTAGACCAACTGGCTGTCCTGACGACACAGAACATTTTCTGGGAACTAACTTAGGCTGGATGATCTGAGAGCTGTGCTCACAAAACTTTGTGTCGACCAACTGGCTGTCTTGACGACACAGGACAATTGCCGGGAACTAATTTAGGCTAGATGACCTGAGAGCTGTGCTCACCCAACTTTGTGTCGAATAACTAACATATTCAGAATTTGCATCTACCCTGGTAAAAGAGGCAGTTGCTTTTGACTCTGCTGATTTGTATATTTCAGTTGAAAGGTTTCATTTATTTGCTGCCTCTTGTGTTACTGTAATATGTGTGGCGAACGAAAGAAGAAGAAGAAGACTGTAATATGTTCCTGAGAAACAGCAAAATATTAAATGCAATAAACTGTGCAATTTGATTCGGTCATCTTTATTTTTATGTTTAATTAAGAGCATCATGAATAACACAATACAACACTGTGCCAGTTAAATGAAAAATGATTATAGAATTGTAAATTAACAAAAAATACACACAACAACAATAACGATCAATTAACAACAAAGTAAAATTTAAAAAAAAAAAAAAACTTTAAAAATCAACAATTTGCATTCAACAACATTTTAAGAATATATAAACAACATGCAAGGCAACGGGAAACCACAACATAACCCCCCCCCCCCCCCCCCCCCCCCCCAAAAAAAAAAAAAAAAAAAAACTCATGAGAAAACACAGACTGATGCTGGATGGGCTGAAACGATGGCATGGAGGGATATCATCAAGAGAGCTGTTCCAGTCAACCAGGATTATGATCTGTGGAGACGCATAAGCGCCTACGCCAGTTGGCAGGGCACATGATGATGATGATGATAAACAACATTGGCAATAAAATTTTAACTGTAAAATAATGTAATATAAAATAAACAGAAACAAGAAAATCAACTGAAAAAATTTTCATTAACAAAAACGCAAAAACTTAAATTTAAAAAAAAAAAAAAAAAAAAAAAAAGAAAATTCAAGAAAAACAAAACAAAAACAACTAAAGCAAAAAGAAACAATCAACAAAAAGATCAGAAAATAAAAACATAACAAATAAAAAAAAAACAAAAACAATTACAAACCACAAGAGCAGACAACTACAGCTACTAACAATAACCTTGGAGGAACACTTACAGTGTATGTAGACATGTTTAGTGGGTCGGTGACCAAAGAAGAAATTAGGCTGATCTGTCCAGTTGAGCTATTGACAGAGAAGAAACTTGGACTTGGGTACACTCCAGTCAACTGGTAGACAATCTGACCCTGAATAATAATAGTAAAACAAAAATACATAATTTCCAGAATGTTAAGTTCAGAGCCACTCCTAGTCGTCATCAACATCATGTGCCATGCTTGGTAAGCACAGGCTGCCCTGTGTTGCCATCTCATACGAGCACCAGAATCACCAATCCTGTCAGTGTTCTTGTTCTACCCCATCTATGTGTTTACTAAGTTTGTGAGTCCATTCCTTCTTACAACATTTCTGTGATAACTGTGAAAGTAACTTTACAACTTACTGCTAATACTTTTTGAAAAATGAATAAATACAGAATAGGCAGGATCAGTTGTTTTATGCTTGTGAAGCTACTGGGGAGGAAAGCGGAGCACCTATGGATCTATCCAGAGTGCTGTAATAATAACCATGAAAAAGTTTTCTGACTCTCAGTGTGAGGAAATGAGCAATGTCTGGAAGAAACTCTGCTATATGACTGGCACACTGAGGTGTTTATTGTCCCCACTATGCTGCTTATCCAAGATTTGTACTTTTCTGTTGTACCACAGATACTGCTTCATGTTGGGCAGTGTTTGCTGGTATAATGGCATGTAACCAAATCATAATTGCTAACTGAGGCTTGTTTTGGTGAAGTCCAACAGTTTGTCTTCTATTACCTTGTATTTTCTTGTCTAAATTCTGTAAACCAGTGATTGTGATAATGTTTTTTATATAATGAATATGTTGTTTTGTTACATGCCTTCGGTATTATGCAGAGAATATGTTACAACAGATTCGGCATTAGGGGAACTCAATAAACAACATAAGATACAAAGACAATACAGTTCCCTTGACTGAAACAAAATATGGTCTGTAAGAATAAATAAACATAGTACAACTAAAAGAAAATGGTTCTATGTAAGAGGGAGACAACATTACTGGTAGTGGATAACATCAACAGATGGATTAGAAGTGTGTAAGAGGGAGACAACATTACTGGTAGTGGATAACATCAACAGATGGATTAGAAGTGTGTAAGAGGGAGACAACATTACTGGTAGTGGATAACATCAACAGATGGATTAGAAGTGTGTAAGAGGGAGACAACATTAATGGTAGTGGATAACATCAACAGATGGATTAGAAGTGTGTAAGAGGGAGACAACATTACTAGTAGTGGATAACATCAACAGATGGATTAGAAGTGTGTAAGAGGGAGACAACATTACTGGTAGTGGATAACATCAACAGATGGATTAGAAATGTGTAAGAGGGAGACAACATTACTAGTAGTGGATAACATCAACAGATGGATTAGAAGTGTGTAAGAGGGAGACAACATTACTGGTAGTGGATAACATCAACAGATGGATTAGAAGTGTGTAAGAGGGAGACAACATTACTGGTAGTGGATAACATCAACAGATGGATTAGAATAATCCTAATGTGTGGATCCTGAAGACAAAGAAACGTTTCTGAGATTCCCTGAAAGAATCAGTGATTGACTCTGGAACTGCAACAATCAGTTTCCTAAAGAAACTAACTTGTTTATAGACAGAGAAACATGCACTCCTTGGATTAGTATGTTGTTTATAGACAGAGAAACATGTTCTCTTTGGATTAGTATGTTGTTTATAGACAGAGAAACATGTTCTCTTTGGATTAGTATGTTGTTTATAGACAGAGAAACATGCACTCCTTGGATTAGTATGTTGTTTATAGACAGAGAAACATGTTCTCTTTGGATTAGTATGTTGTTTATAGACAGAGAAACATGCACTCCTTGGATTAGTATGTTGTTTATAGACAGAGAAACATGTACTCTTTGGATTAGTATGTTGTTTATAGATAGAGAAACATGCACTCCTTGGATTAGTATGTTGTTTATAGACAGAGAAACATGTTCTCTTTGGATTAGTATGTTGTTTATAGACAGAGAAACATGTTCTCTTTGGATTAGTATGTTGTTTATAGACAGAGAAACATGCACTCCTTGGATTAGTATGTTGTTTATAGACAGAGAAACATGTTCTCTTTGGATTAGTATGTTGTTTATAGACAGAGAAACATGCACTCCTTGGATTAGTATGTTGTTTATAGACAGAGAAACATGCACTCCTTGGATTAGTATGTTGTTTATAGACAAAGAAACATGTACTCTTTGTATTAGTATGTTGTTTATAGACAGAGAAACATGCACTCCTTGGATTAATATGTTGTTTACAGACAGAAAAACATGTTCTCCTTCGATTAATATGGTATTCCTTGTAAGTGAGGTTGGTGTGAATTGTTTAGTTTTATTTTGCAAGATTTCCATACACTTGCTGAGACAACGAAAACAGACATATACTTGTGTTGAGGTCACATGCATTTTAAACAGGAAAGATATCACAAACACAAGAAAACTTATGAAATATCTTAAATGATCACAGACAATTCCAGATTGTAAACGTTAAAAAAAAAAAACACACACACACGCACGCACGCACACGAGCACACACACACACACAGAACCCACCTCCAAATCATCATCAACTGCCTGCACCGCTGAGACCGGGCCAGCAGGGGCAAACTCACTGACTGTGCGATCTGCTGAAGGATGGACAAACCTGGGAGGCAGGTCCAGGTCAACAGTGAACAACATCACACAGTTGTCTCTCTTTTCACTGGCTCCACGATTATCTGACACTCGAATGGTTAGCTGTGGGGGAAGTCAACACGTGAGTAGGCTGATACAAGTGATGCTCAGTGCACAAACATGTCTGAGGTATTGTAATAAATGCACTGAATGCTGGAGTCGTGTACGAAAAATGTAGTGTGACTGAGTTAAAGTAACAAATCATGTATTTAACAAATATACTGTACATTTGTTTCAAAGTATTGGATTTGTCCAATCAGTTGTTTTACAACTAGACACAACACTGCGGATAAAGATAATCTATTTCTAAGCGAACAAAAGAAGAAGAAGAAGAAGAAGAAGAAGAATCGTTTTACACTTGTGGAGTGTTTGAGGAGGAGATCGGAGCACCTATGGACCTGTGATGATAATCCTTTCTAATCACTTAACCATGTTCATCAGTATAAATAATGTCATAATATGGTGTCAGGAAACTGCCTGGGAGGAAAAGCCACTGCTATGATAATGATCACATTACCCAGTGAGTGTTGACTGGTCTAAAACAAATGGGGCTATATCTTCTTTTGCATTCAACCTTAAAGGGTAGTTAGCATATTAGGTTGTTTACAGCGAGGCTGCAATATCTGCTGTACTATTAGGTCCAAAACATTAGACTAGCTCCAGAATACCTAATACATTTGATGGTGTGGAATGGAGTTCTTCAATTACTTTTACTAATCCTAATCATATTATAAACTCTGGCCCAAGGGAGCCACATTGAAAGAGAAGCTATGGAGGACCGGTGGCAACCTTAAATGCACAATCCTATATGTGACCCAGACGGGACTCAATGTTTAGCTTGACTGATGTCGAACGCAGAAGAATAAGAAGAATAATATAAATTAATTGTACATAAGAGTAGTTTGTCTGGCAGACCAGCTGTTCACTGAAGTAGGAAAGATGGACTGATGTTCTAGCTGAACCTGAGATACTTACATTGTAAAAGGTAACCTGTGTGCCTTCCAGTGAATGGAACAGCCAGATGTTGCCAGTACGAGAGTCCACATAGAAGACGGGATTGCTGGCATTCGCTGGAGCTGGTATGGTGCTGATCAGTGTGTATGACACAGGATCCTGGAGGATAAATATTTCATGTCATTAGAGCAATAACATACTTGTACTCACAAAGCATCACCAACTTTACACTAGCATGTTAAAACATAAAAACATAAATCAGCAAGATTCATAGAGAGGAAGTTTAAAAATGATATCAATGTTTCTGATATGAATTTTTAGGATTCAAACTTAGATAAAGCAGATAAGCAGAATTCCTAGTCCGCTACATAGCAGGTTGAATGGTACTTGTCTGAAGCAAGTTAAAGAATTTAAATATCAAGGAAGTATATTTTCGAATGGATAAATCAAGACTTCCTTACCAAGCCCTCATTTGGACACCACAGGGGAAAAGATCTCGTGGAAGACCAAGGGAAACCCTACGTAGAACTATCATCAGGGAAGGCTCGCTCATGGGTCACTCAAACATCCAAGACCTACAATGGATTGCAACGGACCGCCGTGCATGGAGAGTCACGACCTCTGCCCTATGTGCTGCACTCGACACAAGAGGAAAGACTAACTAACTAACTAACTAACTAATATTCTCGAAGGAAGGGAGAATAGATCAGGAAAAAGAAACAAGATGCTATTGAGCCAGTGCACTTTTAAACCAACATCTTTCTAGCTTTTTTCTGGTATCTGAAATATTTGGGTTGAAAACTGGCTTGCCAAGCTAGCTAAAAAAAAAAAAAACCCAGTAGACTACCCAAAAAAAAAAAAAAATGCCATGAATGGAAACAATGATAAAATCCTGCATTCTCTGATCAAGACTTACCTGGTCTGGGTCTGTTGCTATGACTGAAGATATAATTGATGGAACTGGTTGATATTCTGTAACGTTGTATCTGGTAACACTCATCTGACACACTGGCCCAAACGGGTTCCTCACTACATTGATGGTGACAGTTGCTGTTGCCTTTCTGATGGAATCAGCCTGATCATACGCTTGGACCTTAAACTGCAAGACAGAATGCAAGCACATATATTTTTGACTCTTTGAGCTCCAGGGGATACTTGACATGCTGCTCTCAAGTCAGTACTCTCATCTGTCTAATAATTGTATTTTTTTTAACACTGATGCTGGAATAATTTGTGTCAGCACTCCAAGTCCTTTCTTTGAAAGACGAACGCGTCTTTCTATTAAAAACATTGTAAACATAGAAAATATTTTAATGACATATACAGTGAGATCTGCTCTTCAAATATAAAACTAAAGTAGCATTACATTGTTAAATACACTATATCTGAGTAAAATGGTGGTAATGAGAAACAGTGGCTTAGGTAATATGACTAAAAACAGAAGGTGTATAAAATAACTTAATTTCACAGAAAGACAAGACATTTTTACTAGAAGATCAAGTACACTAAAAAAAAAAAAAACAAGCATGTGCACTTTATTGATACAGGCTAAGACAATCATGCAGACAGTCATATAATTAACTCTTTTTGAGTCCCAAGGAACGCATCATACGCTCATAGGTTCCTACTTAGAAACCCAATGAACGCAAGATGCGCTGATTTTACGTCTCTCTTGATTACCCCTTGGGCCTCTGATGCTAAATCCCCTGGGACTCAAAGAGTTAAAAAGAGCAACACAAGAGGAAAGCTGCAATGAAGTGGACTGATCCAGAAGCTTCACAAGCAGCCAGAAGTATGTGATGATAATACAGGATTTGAAGATGGTTTAAATGGCAAGTAGTTCACAGCTGAGAAATGATGAGAGATTTCCATAAAGTAGAGTAAATATTACTCATGTTTCAATTCTACAACAACACTATGGGAGCTAAATCAGACCAGAAACAATGACTTGAATCTGGTCTAAACGGTCAACGCTAAACTCACCACGTATAAAGTTGCATTGTCATAGAAAACTGAGTTGGCCACTGTGATATTGCCCGTTTGTGCATCTAAGGCAAAGTATGCAGGAGGTGGGTTCACAAACTCATATACAATGAAGCTCTGTAGCAAAGAAAATAATCAAAAAATAATGTATAACCAGCGAAATGTATTTACTAACAGTGTCTACTGTCAACAGCTTCAAAACATGCTTTAGTTATTATTTTTCATTTCGATGTTTTGTCATGCTCATCAAATATTAATTATTTGGCATGAAATTAGCTGTATGCCTCATCAGATGTAGACTTCTGAAACCAGGGTTACATTTCCAAAGTCGGTTCCGGGGCTCCATTTTGGGAGGGAAAAGAACAGATCCACAGCCTCTCAACAAGCATGTCACTGAGGGCAACTTATTAGGGATTTGATAAAGCTGCATGGTAAGGTTAAAAGGTGCAGATATTGCAGCCTAGCTGTAAACCACAACATGCCCTGCCAACTGCTCTTTCAAGGATAAAAAAAGAAGCAGAGGAAGACTATGATATGGAGAACACACTAATACGTAATAATAGCACTGACATATAATCGGTTAGTTGCGTATCCTTTACAGGACGTTGCAGTAACCAACCCCAGCAGCCCCTGTCTGTGTGTGATTTCTCCAGGCAAATTTACGTCCAGTAGTTTGCCATTGCTTTCTGGACGGTCAGCCCCCTGATACCACTGTATCACATGGCCCGCAGCTGGGATCGAACCCGGCACCCTGGCATTACGAAGCGTTCACATCGACTTAGCTGACATATAATAATAACTGTAAAAACCACACACCAAAGGACACTGCACAAAATCATCAACCATACAGATAATTTAGACTTGGAAAGTTATTTTCTTCTCACCATGACTATTGCAATTTTCCCTATATCTCTCTGAAATTCGGAACCACAGCTACTGAGATGGATTGCTTGGTGCAACACTGTGAGTTGTGAATTAAATTTTAAATGCTTTTCACAAGGTGGTTTGAACTGCAGTTTCATAAAATAGTGAGTGACCTTTGGCCACATAACTTGTAGCGTCTTATGCAATTTTTTGTGTGCAACTGTTGATTCATTGTAAATGATGAATTGAAATTCTAATGTCCAAGTGTTTGTGTTGGCATTTCTGATAGCTGCCGTATGCATTAATTTAATATATACATATATATGTACATATATATGCAAAGGGTCACAGGAATAGAACAATTATGATGGTGACCCATTCGCAGTGAGGGTAGAACCGTGAGTAACTAACTATACATAATGTAAAACTTCTATACCCACAGAAGAAAATACACAGAGTACTGCATACTAAAGTAAAGAAAGTAGGATTTTGTACAATTGCAATAGTGTATTAACAAAACTAAGGACACTGACACTAGTCACAAGTAATAAGATCACACAACAGAAAGTAATAAAATTACTGGAGTCTGCAAGAGTATTTTCCAACAGATTTTAAGCTGACCAGCCCAAGATGAATAAATATGGCCCACTCAAAAGCTTAGAAGTCAGGGTAGGGGCCAGGCACTCGCTAGTACTCTGGTATGCCTGCCTGGTGGTTAAGGTAGGGGCCAGTCACTAGCAAGTACTCTGGTATGCCTGCCTGGTGGTCAGGGTAGGGCCAGTCACTCGCTAGTACTCTGGTATGCCTGCCTGGTGGTCAGGGTAGGGGCCAGTCACTCGCTAGTACTCTGGTGTGCCTGCCTGGTGGTTGAGGTAGGGGCCAGTCACTAGCAAGTACTCTGGTATGCCTGCCTGGTGGTCAGGGTAGGGGCCAGTCACTAGCTAGTACTCTGGTATGCCTGCCTGGTGGTTAAGGTAGGGGCCAGTCACTAGCAAGTACTCTGGTATGCCTGCCTGGTGGTCAGGGTAGGGCCAGTCACTCGCTAGTACTCTGGTATGCCTGCCTGGTGGTTAAGGTAGGGGCCAGTCACTCGCTAGTACTCTGGTATGCCTGCCTGGTGGTTAAGGTAGGGGCCAGTCACTCGCTAGTACTCTTGTATGCCTGTCTGGTGGTTAAGGTAGAGGCCAGTCACTTGCTAGTACTCTGGTATGCCTGCCTGGTGGTTAAGGTAGGGGCCAGTCACTCACTAGTACTCTGGTATGCCTGCCTGGTGGTCAGGGTAGGGCCAGTCACTCACTAGTACTCTGGTATGCCTGCCTGGTGGTTAAGGTAGGGGCCAGTCACTCGCTAGTACTCTGGTATGCCTGCCTGGTGGTTAAGGTAGGGGCCAGTCACTCGCTAGTACTCTGGCATGCCTGCCTGGTGGTTAAGGTAGGGGCCAGTCACTAGCTAGTACTCTGGTATGCCTGCCTGGTGGTCAGGGTAGGTACCAGTCACTCACTAGTACTCTGGTATGCCTGCCTGGTGGTCAGGGTAGGGGCCAGGCACTCACTAGTACTCTGGTATGCCTGCCTGGTGGCTAAGGTAGGGGCCAGTCACTAGCAAGTACTCTGGTATGCCTCCCTATGGTCAGGGTAGGGGCCAGTCACTCGCTAGTACTCTAGAATGCCTGCCTGGTGGTTATAGTAGGGGCCAGTCACTCGCTAGTACTCTGGTATGCCTGCCTGGTGGTCAGGGTAGGGGCCAGTCACTAGCTAGTACTCTGGTATACCTGCCTGGTGGTCAGGGTAGGGGCCAGTCACTAGCAAGTACTCTGGTATGCCTGCCTGGTGGTTAAGGTAGGGGCCAGTCACTAGCAAGGACTCTGGTATGCCTGCCTGGTGGTCAGAGTAGGGGCCAGTCACTAGCTAGTACTCTGGTATGCCTGCCTGGTGGTTAAGGTAGGGGCCAGTCACTAACAAGTACTCTGGTATGCCTGCCTGGTGGTTAAGGTAGGGGCCAGTCACTCGCTAGTACTCTGGTATGCCTGCCTGGTGGTTAAGGTAGGGGCCAGTCACTCGCTAGTACTCTGGTATGCCTGCCTGGTGGTCAGAGTAGGGGCCAGTCACTCACTAGTACTCTAGAATGCCTGCCTGGTGGTTAAGGTAGGGGCCAGTCACTCGCTAGTTCTCTGGTATGCCTGCCTTGTGGTCAGGGTAGAGGCCAGTCACTTGCTAGTACTCTAGCATGCCTGCCTGGTGGTCAGGGTAGAGGCCAGTCACTCACTAGTACTCTGGCATGGTCAGGTATTTGAGTTCGCAGTGAAGTCACACACAAATGACTTAGCTTTCAAATTAACCAAGTCTAAATATGGCCAGAGGGAAATATTGAGAAAATAATGGTGGCTGTGTGATACTGACTACATCGCATATTAAATGTCACAGGGCTGGCATCATATACCCAACAATCTCTGATGTGATCACAACCATCTCTAACTTCATACTTGAAGTTGTAGACCCATTTATATCAACAACAACAACAACAACAACAACAACCAAACAGCAAATTATACAACCATTTAGTTATTTTTCTTACATGTTTTTAAAAATCTCCCAGTAAACTACTATTGTCTTGATTCATGCTGTGGTCTACCAAGCCACCTGACAGTAACTCTAATAAAAGACAAGTTCCTGGTTTTGCAGAAGCTAAAACATAACTAGAGTCACAAACTGACCGTGGGAGCCATGTCTGCATCAGTAGCTAATAGTTGCAGCACAAAGTCACCAGGTTTAGCATTATCATTGATCTGTGCTTGGCGGTCGATCATATATGGTGCCACACCGCTTGAATCAACAATGACAACCCCATTAGCTTCAGTGCAGAGCTGTGGGTAGCCATTGTCACATGCTCGAATTCTCAGCTGTCGAAAGTTGGACACAAACATTTTAATATAGGCATCATCCACAAGTTAACACAAATTACAAATATAAATGTTTATAATTAAAGAAAGTAAGTATTAGATTATCTGTGGACAAAAAGGAAAAAGAACACAATTTATCATTATGAACTATGTTTCAAGGACAATTCTGAAACAAAATGTATGCTTCAAGTGATCATATTACCGAGAGACAAGGGACAAGAACAAATGATTATCCTGTACCCTAGAATAAGGTCAAAAGTTTTTGCAAACATATGGATACACAATTTTTTAATCAGAACAACACCTTGCACTTATGTGATTTGGTGCCCCAGGCAGTAGTATATGCTTTAAGACTGTCCCAAATATGACACATTATGGCAAAAATTTGGTGTAGGAAAACAATATTAAAAATTTAAACTCACGGACTTGTGAGTGAATTAAAATGATATTGTGAAATTTCTTAAGTAAACGACAACATTACAGGTGTAGAACGATCAATTTCAAGTGAACAGAAGAAGAAGATATGTGTATTGTAAAGGTTGTTGTAAAGGTTGTTTCCCAAATCAAAAAATTAAATAAACATGGATTAAAAATATGCAGGTTCATAAGGTCAGAATGTGAAATTTATAAATTTGTATAAATAAATGTTTCATATGCTTAAAAGTTTCTAAGCTGACCAGGTTGTCTGGTGTAAGATAGCTGCTGCTATTTAGCATGAGTCGGAGGTGGCGTTAGTGCAGTCGATAAGAAGCCCGCTTTCAAATCCAGCTGCGACTTTGCTGCAGCCAGGGTTGGTGTTCGAAACGAGGCAGCTCCCAGGGTTCACCCAGCCTCTAGGAAATGGGTACCAAAGTGATACTCTGGGGTAAATGGAGAAACGTCGCTGGAGCTACAGAGTTACATGTGAACAGTGACACAGGCAGACAATTCTCATCAGCTGTCCATACTGGTGGTAGAGGACTTATTGTTTTATAACCGTGTGCAATGACGCTGGTACAAATCTCCCGACTTTTTAAACATTTAGCATGAGTGATGTACACACAGCAGGCAACAGTCTACAGCCACATGATATACATAGAGCAGGCAACAGTCTACAGCCACATGAGTGATGTACACAGAGCAGGCAACAGTCTACAGCCACATGAGTGATGTACACAGAGCAGGCAACAGTCTACAGCCACATGAGTGATGTACACAGAGCAGGCAACAGTCTACAGCCACATGAGTGATATACACAGAGCAGGCAACAGTCTGCAGCCACATGAGTGATGTACATAGAGCAGGCAACAGTCTACAGCCACATGAGTGATTTACATAGAGTAGGCAACAGTCTACAGCCACATGAGGGATGTACATAGAGCAGGCAACAGTCTACAGCCACATGAGTGATTTACATAGAGTAGGCAACAGTCTACAGCCACATGAGTGATGTACATAGAGCAGTCAACAGTCTACAGCCACATGAGTGATGTACATAGAGCAGGCAACAGTCTACAGCCACATGAGTGATGTACATAGGGCAGGCAACAGTCCACAGCCACATGAGTGATGTACATAGGGCAGGTAACAGTCTACAGCCACATGAGTGATGTACATAGAGCAGGCAACAGTCTACAGCCACATGAGTGATGTACACAGAGCAGGCAACAGTCTACAGCCACATGAGTGATGTACACAGAGCAGGCAACAGTCTACAGCCACATGAGTGATGTACACAGAGCAGGCAACAGTCTACAGCCACATGAGTGATATACACAGAGCAGGCAACAGTCTGCAGCCACATGAGTGATGTACATAGAGCAGGCAACAGTCTACAGCCACATGAGTGATTTACATAGAGTAGGCAACAGTCTACAGCCACATGAGGGATGTACATAGAGCAGGCAACAGTCTACAGCCACATGAGTGATTTACATAGAGTAGGCAACAGTCTACAGCCACATGAGTGATGTACATAGAGCAGTCAACAGTCTACAGCCACATGAGTGATGTACATAGAGCAGGCAACAGTCTACAGCCACATGAGTGATGTACATAGGGCAGGCAACAGTCCACAGCCACATGAGTGATGTACATAGGGCAGGTAACAGTCTACAGCCACATGAGTGATGTACATAGAGCAGGCAACAGTCTACAGCCACATGAGTGATGTACATAGAGCAGGTAACAGTCTACAGCCACATTAGTGATGTATATAGGGCAGGCAACAGTCTACAGCCACATTAGTGATGTACATAGGGCAGGTAACAGTCTACAGCCACATTAGTGATGTTTGCAGGTCAGAAACTGGAATCAATGATATATTGCTAGAGTGGTTTATGTCTGTTTACAACAAACACTGACATGACCAGTAGGTTTACTGTCTGAGGTTTAGATACTTATCATCATCCTCATCTTGGGTATATCCTGCACTTACCACAAACTGTCTAATTCCTGTGACAGCTTTTCTTAAATAAAGGGTGCCATTTGTAGTATCAATGAAGAAATAGTCTGACACACCAGTGTTGAGGTCACGCTGTATATTCTCTCCAACAATAGAATAGGTCACAACATCCTGCAAATCAGAAATCAATATTTACAAAGTGATCAAGTTTTATTTACATACAGAGAGAAATGTCTTTGAACAGTTACACATTACCCTACAATGTGTGTCATATGAGATCACTTAGGAGGGTTAATGTTTGACTTCTTTCTTCATCCCACTGAAAACTTCAGCTGCAAAATTCACCTAGTCAGGAACAAGTTTAAAAAGAGCTTTAAATGAGTTAATGAAGAACCGAATGTTCCATAAGGAGCTGGAAGGCAGAAGAAAAAGATGTACTGTGTCACATTCAAAGAAATACCAGATGGATTAACTACAACTTCATGTGTTGTATAGATAAAGACCCAACACTGTATTATCTGCAGTTTACCTTGGCATACTGTTTACAAATTACTTGTACTTTCTACTGATAAGTATCCATACTGAAATTGAAACAAAATATAACCCTACCAGACGTAATCCTCAAACACAGCCATTTTAAGACTCATTAAATGATACATTAATAATTGTAGACTGAACAGCTTACCATTGCTTGTGATGTCCAGAGGATTAACTATGTAGAGTGAAAAGGCTATAAAAATACTGGAAACTATGAGGATCTCATACCTGTATGTCTGGGTCTATTGCCGTCGCATTGAAGACATATTGAAGGACAGGATGTGTGTCCCTTATGGTGACGGTGTATTCTGGCAGGGTGAACCTGGGTGGGTTTTGGTTGTGAAGGATTGTAATTGTGCACCTAATCTCGCTGGAGCGGTCAGGTCTAAGGGAGTCGTATACTCTCACTGCATACTGTGGATGTCAAGCAGAGTCCAGTAAACACATTACAAGAAACACATCAATCAGACTGTTAATATGTTTGAAATTTACAGTTTAAATTTTCAGTAATGAATTCACATGTCACTGACTGAATGAATTTCTAAAAATTACAAAATGCATTTAAACCCCAGGAACACATGAAAAAAAAAAAGTCATATACAACTTATTTAAAATGTATTTCTCTACATAATAAAGATAAACAAGAACAGGCTGAAGCATTAAATGGAATGCATCACACAGGGCCAGAAAAATAGATGTAACAGGAAACTCATACTGTGACCCCATGACCTCTTTCACTAAGCTTATGAGAAAATTTTACATCAACCTGGTTTTCTTAGTTAACCATTTGAATTGAAGGACAACCCCCTGATATTCATTATTTGTTTAGTTCATCAGGTACCAGATAATTTTTTAGAATGTCTATCACATAATGGTTCAACAGAAAGTCTCTGTATTGTCAGTCCAAGGTGTTTCCAGTATAACTGCATGCTGTTCACTATTGTGCCAGCCAACTTCTGTTTATTTCAAGAAATAATGGCTTTTATTACTGTTCTTTCCCTGTAATCTTAGTTTCAGCTCCATGGTTGCCCCATAGTTTTTCCACTCCTGTGCCAACGAAAAACATACAGGTTGTCCATTACTGTACGTTTGTTGAAAAAAAATGTACACAGACTGCAGTCTCAGAGTATCCACTAGCATACACAAACATTAAAAGCATAAGGGAGTTATCAGAAGTGCTGACACTAGCAGTCCAACATTAGAATTGCAGGTCATCATTGATGGAAGCAAGCAGCAATTACAAACAGATCAGCAGCTGCACACGCAATCTATTTTAATCACATTAGACATCTGCAATACTGTGGCACAGGCCACACATCATTTTCTGAATCAACAGTTCACAAAACCATGTTGGTCACACACACAAAAAAACATTCACACAAACAAATCCACAAATTCAGTGTTACACCATGCACTTAATTCAGTAGCTAGGTGACAAAACTACATCCTTTAAGTTTACAAATGGATGAAAATGCAACAGCCACCGTCTGTCAGAAGCAAAATATTTGCCATGCAGTTACCATGTCTATCATCCATTTTGACTGGAAGTCCTTACTAATTACCCATCAGCCACTTTGCCTGGACACCCATTTCAGTTTTTATTTATGAACTTAATCTGAACATAGTTTCAGTTTCAACAGAATACAGCATGAGAGCTATCTCAGAAAGACTTACAATGACACTAGTATCCCTGACAGAAATGTTGCGCAGGTTCTCGGTCAGGAAGATCACACCACTATTGTTCACACTGAAAAAAGTTGGAGCTGGGTATTCCCCTATCTCTTCGAATACCAGTGGGCCCTGTGAAAGAAATAAGCATCACAATTTGTTTTCACATATCTCATCAAAACAAATGTCCATTTTGCTACAGACAGCTGGGGGATATAAAATACTCTCTGCCTGTAGTTGATACTCCATGGAGTAGCAAGCACAACAGGATCTTATGATCCTCAGAAAAGGTTTTCTTTCTTTGAATGTTTTGGCCCTGTTACTTTACTTACACTTTCTGGGCATGGACCAACCCATGTCACGGCTCCTGGATTTTATTCTACTGTCATGCAGCTGAATCTAGTTTCAATAAACTGTCATCTATATTTTATGCGGAAATCAGCAAAGGCGGAACATTCAAGTTGCAGCATTAATTCTTGAAGTGTAAAGGCATGTAATAGGGGCTGATATTTCGAATCAGCCATGACTGGATTATGGCCTGGGGTTCGCAAGTTCACATCCCATGGAGGCAGACTGTACAACTGACCTGGACTTTCCTGTAGCTCCTGTCTAAACAAAGGTATCAAGACATATTCTGGGAAGAGAGGTTTGCTATTACAATATTATCTACATCATTGAACAAGTGCAAACCAGTATATTCAATAATGGGATAGTACTATATGCATACAAGGCTTAAGGCCTAGAAATGGGTCTTTTACATTTTTATTTATGTATCTGTTTTTCAGTATTTATGGCAAACTTTATTGTACCCATGTTTTTTTCTTTAAAACAATACATAAATGAGCACCAGAGTTGAGAACATTGCATTATTTATGTATAGCTTTGCTGACCAGGGAGATAAAAGTGAAATAATGAAATTTATTTAATTAATACCTAAATGTTAGGAACAAAACATGTTTAGATAACTTTCGTTGGTATTAAATCATTCAAAAACTGTATAAATGGATTATTTAACTCTTTGAGTCCCAAGGAACGCATCATACGTTCATAGGTTCCTACCTAGAAGCTCAATGAACGCATGATGCGCCGATTTTATTACTTTCTTTACTACCCCCTGGGCCTGTGATGCTAAACCCTCTGGGACTCAAAGAGTTAATGAAAGTCAGGTAAAGTGGAGACATTACCAGTGCATTGGGGTCGCTGGCGGTAATCCGTACATTGATAGGACCAAGATTTCTGTTCTCACTAATTGTGTCCTGGCATTGGTCAGGACCAAGTATTGGCCTGCCTGTGTGACGCCGGATGTTGATAGTTACAGTCACTGGAGTGGATCTTCTTGGTGTACCATTGTCCTGGCCTATGACATTCATCTGGAGAATATGAAGGTCACATGTTGTATGTATCATAAAATATTATTTCACATAGCAGTGAGTTAATGGTTCATACAGTACTATGCCTGGTTCTCCATTAACCAACACTCAATACCAGTGTATGTGATAACAATTTCATACACAATAGTATTTCCTGAATAGGAAAGTGTTAATTTTACACAAATAGCTTCCACACATTTGAACTGTAGTATTATGTGACCTATTTTATATTCTTTTACACAGTAATGTAAAAAATGGGAAGTTCAGTTGAAATATATCAATATACCTATATACCATTGCAGATATCATCATCATAATCATCAGGTGACTAGCCAACTGGCGTGGGCGATCATGCCTCTCCACAATCCGCGATCTCCTGCAGCATGTATCAGTTCATGTGCTGACACACCTCCATGCCATGCAACAAGACTGTCCAGCATCTTCTCTCGTTGTCTTCCTCTATCCCTCCTTCCACAGATCTTTCCAGTGGTCACAACATGTTCCCCTTTCCATGATGACTGTCTCTTTTTGATGTCTGTGATAAGTTGTCTTTGTGCTCCCGGCCTCTTTCAAAACCTCTTGGGTGCTCTTTTATGGCTGTTCAATGTATTTTAAGCTTTTTTTCTATAAAACCACATCTCTGAGGCCTCAAGAAATTGTTTGGCCTGCCTACCAATTGTTCAGGACTCACAGCCATATTGTTAAAACTGGATGTATGTAGCAAGCAAGAATTCTTTTTTTTACCATTAATGACAAAGATATATTGCGAAAGATGTTCTTCATTTTATAAAATGCAGTTTGTGTCTGTCCTATTCTTTCTTTTCTCAGTAATGCATCTGCCATCTGATGTTATCCTTGTGCCCAGATAATTAAATTTCTGTACTTGTCTCAAAATAACACCATTGACTTTTATTACACATTTATGAATTATTCTTTTCTTTGATACTACCATTACTTCTGTCTTTCCCTTACTGAAACTGAGGCCCACATTTCCACTTTCTACCACCACAGTGTCTATCATTTCTGGTAGTTCTTTCTGCCTTGTTTGACAACGCAGATATAGATAATCTATTTGAAGCGAACAACAGAACAAGAAATAACACAAAGAATATCTATACACAAACATAAACAACTGATGAACACACACACACAGCTATGTGTTATCATGAACACACACACAGCTATGTGTTATCATCAACACACACACAGCTATGTGTTATCATGAACACACACACAGCTATGTGTTATCATCAACACACACACAGCTATGTGTTATCATGAACACACACACAGCTATGTGTTATCATCAACACACACACAGCTATGTGTTATCATCAACACACACACAGCTATGTGTTATCATGAACACACACACACAGCTATGTGTTATCATCAACACACACACAGCTATGTGTTATCATGAACACACACACAGCTATGTGTTATCATCAACACACACACAGCTATGTGTTATCATCAACACACACACACAGCTATGTGTTATCATGAACACACACACACAGCTATGTGTTATCATGAACACACACACACAGCTATGTGTTATCATGAACACACACACACAGCTATGTGTTATCATGAACACTTATTTTATAATAATTACTGATTTTCAAAACAATGTGTTCCCATTATAAATTAAATAACGAAGATTTGTATGTAAAATTTACAGTTTGCTGTATCTTGTTAAAAGGGTTAATATTCTGTGCTTCCTTATATACTGATGGTTTAAATGAGATCAAAATATAAATATTGTTTACCGTATATGTGTCCTTGGGAACTCCTAACAGACTCTGCTTTATCAGTATCTCACCCGAGCTGAAGATCTGAAACAGGGTCAGTGTATCTTGCTCCCCGGTAGCATAATAAGTCACAATGTCCTGGAACAAGAAACATGTCTGTGATTGGCTACAGAATCTTTTTAACAAAGGAAGACAGAAATCTGTCCAAAGTGAGGAAGAAATAAATAAATGCTGCAAATTCTACTGAGTTATCTGAGGTCACTAACACTACTTACATTTGCATGCAGTAAAAAGGAACAAAACTACTTTTTACTGTACAATTCTCATTTGGAAACACACAATAAAACTTCATCATTATTATCGTTAATAAATATTACAATCACCACCATGAATACTGTCATCATGAAAATCATCACCATCAACACCTTCTAAGTATTCATTGTAAGAAAACCATGATGATGTTCATCTCTAAGAACAATGCAATATGACTCAAGAGGACAAAAGGTGATGGAGATTCATTATCAATCCCCTTAACTTTTTGAGTCCAAGAGGGTTTAGCATCACAGATTTAAGGGGTAGTAAAAAGAGACATAAAATCAACATATCATGTGTTCATTGGGTTTCTCTGTAGAAATCTATGAATATATAATGTGTTCCTTGGGACTCAAAAATGTTAAATGTAAATACAGAAAATGATGGTGGATTCAGGACTTATATAAATTTTTAGCATTCATTCATAAAACTACAGTCCTGTAATTTCAGAAACTCAAACTAAATGGTTTTAAAGCATGGGTATGACAGCAGGAAGGTGGTAGAATCCTCCAGAAGCTCAAACTAAATGGTTTTAAAGCATGGGTATGACAGCAGGAAGGTGGTAGAATCCTTCATAAACTCAAACTAAATGGTTTTAAAGCATGGGTATGACAGCAGGAAGGTGGTAGAATCCTCCAGAAGCTCAAACTAAATGGTTTTAAAGCATGGGTATGACAGCAGGAAGGTGGTAGAATCCTCCAGAAGCTCAAACTAAATGGTTTTAAAGCCTGGGTATGACAGCAGGAAGGTGGTAGAATCCTCCAGAAGCTCAAACTAAATGGTTTTAAAGCATGGGTATGACAGCAGGAAGGTGGTAGAATCCTCCAGAAGCTCAAAACTAAATGGTTTTAAAGCATGGGTATGACAGCAGGAAGGTGGTAGAATCCTCCAGAAGCTCAAACTAAATGGTTTTAAAGCATGGGTATGACAGCAGGAAGGTGGTAGAATCCTCCAGAAGCTCAAACTAAATGGTTTTAAAGCATGGGTATGACAGCAGGAAGGTGGTAGAATCCTTCATAAACTCAAACTTAATGGTTTTAAAGCATGGGTATGACAGCAGGAAGGTGGTAGAATCCTTCAGAAGCTCAAACTAAATGGTTTTAAAGCATGGGTATGACAGCAGGAAGGTGGTAGAATCCTTCATAAACTCAAACTAAATGGTTTTAAAGCATGGGTATGACAGCAGGAAGGTGGTAGAATCACTTACCCTGGTGTTGTTGTCTGTAGCCACCACTGTGAGAATGTTTGTCCCAACAGCATCTGTCTCGTTGATGGTGATCACATAAGCTGACTGGTTAAACACTGGGGCATATTCATTACGATTCACAGTGAAGAATATCACCTCTTCAGCATAGTCATCAACATAGGCTGGGTCATAAGCCCTCACATACAGCTGCGTTGTAGAAGATAAATTATTGCCTTTTACGTTATTTTTTAATTTTAATTTCACATGATTGTTCAAACATACACCTGCGTTCTTATAGCAGCTGCATTATCTGACTTAACAGAAATAGCAATCACAAAAGGCAACATTAGAAGCTTGACAGCATCACAAGGAACATTTCAGGAAAGTATAACTATGTTACATGAAGGAAAGGTCTTTTTTCCACATCCGAAAAGTGTACTGAGTGTATAGTCAATACAAGAAATATAAAGTGTACTGAGTGTATAGTCGAAACAAGAAATATAAAGTTTGCAGAGTGTATAGTGGATACAAGAAATATAAAGTGTAATGAGTGTATAGTGGATACAAAAAATATAAAGTGTAGTGAGTGTATAGTCAATTCAAGAAATATAAAGTGTACTGAGTGTATAGTGGATACAAAAAATATAAAGTGTAGTGAGTGTATAGTCAATTCAAGAAATATAAAGTGTACTGAGTGTATAGTGGATACAAAAAATATAAAGTGTAGTGAGTGTATAGTCAATTCAAGAAATATAAAGTGTAATGAGTGTATAGTGGATACAAAAAATATAAAGTGTACTGAGTGTATAGTCGATACAAGAAATATAAAGTGTAGTGAGTGTATAGTCAATTCAAGAAATATAAAGTGTACTGAGTGTACAGTTGATTCAAGAAATATAAAGAACTCTTCATCCTGACGTGAGACATATGGTGCTAGATCCATATTTGTTAGACCATTCAGCATCTAATGCATTATCACACCAGCATTTAAAAAAAATGGGACTGAAAAAGACAGGCACTGGATGGGATGCGCAGGGAAAATCTGTAGTATAATTAGAAAGTCTTTTTTTCTGAAGCTTACCTGACAAATGGAATAACAGAAGGAGGCCTTAAAACATGAAGTTTAGAGGGAGACTTTAAAAAACAAAAACACAGGAGTTGATAATTAGAGATAGATGAATTACATGGGAGAATATGGCAGGAGCTGCAAAAGATGTCCAAAAAGTAAAGTTGAAGAGTAAGTGAGTTGGGAGCAAATAGATTAATAAAATGTGTTTTAATTAGTACATCTGTCATGGAAGTGTGAGTTTAGATCAGTCTTCAGATGTCTCAAAGATCTTGGTTCTGCATGAAAAGACAGTGCACACACAAATTCTAAACCAGTAAAATGAGGTAGTCAATAAAAATGGAAAGATAAAATACACTGTCGCTAGCAAGGCTGATCTTTTCTTTAAAAGAGAAAGACAAAGGTGCCATAAAATGTCTAATGAAGGTGTCAGTATGCACAACAAAAGTGTCTATTACAGAGTGTTAGGAATTGTTTTTGGGTGTACTGAACATTGCCAGGAATAAAAAAGACAAAGAAAACCTAGTTGTATGTATCACAATGACAAAGAACAGAAGCATGTATGGTATTACCTGATATGTTGTTGAAGTGCCGCCTAAAAGACTGTTGGCCAGGTAAACTACTGCCGTCGAGCTATCGATGTTGAAGTAGTAAGCAGCTGTTGTGTTGGTTATCTCCACATACACAAGTGGGCCCTGGAAACATTCAAGGATATCACTGTATGCTCTCATTGTCTAGACATTTGTAACAGCAGTAAGAAAAGTGGCACAAAAGTAAACCTATGGCAAATATGGCACAGTGTTGACTGTCGTGTATTCTCTAAGTCACAACATTAGGATCCAGTTTGACTAGCAACTGTCTCCATTAGATTACCTTACAAGATACATGTCTGTATATGAGAGGCTGGGTAGATACATGTCTAACTGTACAGTGTACTTACAGCTAAACTAGTCTAAATCATGGTGCTGTAACCCACTACACTAACCTCTATATAACTCTTTTACTGGTAACGTAATGTACTGAAATAATAAAGAACCTTACTGTTGGTACTGTGCCATTACCACAAATCTTCTAAGGTATTGGTAACCCAGTGCACTAACCAATACATGACCGCTCCAAGTAGACAAGGATACCTTGAGCTACGCACAACATCTTCTGACTCTATGTTTTTTTCCCTCTAGGCTACGTCAAGAGTGATCTCATTTTCGCCAGAGATGACATAGAGGGAAATCCCTATTATATACGGGTGCTGTTTGGGAATTTTCCAGTTTTGCTAGTTTGCATTTTCCTGGAAAGGCACAACCCAGCAATTTCACATACAGAATTAGCTGCTAGCAAATTTGGAAAAGTTGTTGCAAGAAAACCTGGTCACCAACAGAATACCCGCTGGTAGACGGGATAGCTGGCATTGACTTCTTGGTGCTAGCAGGAGACAGAGTGTGCAGTTTTGGAAGGCAACATTGATTCTGTCTTTCCAGCCACCTAAAAACCCTAGCAGTTTGACAGTATAGTTACATCTACATCCAGGTGAGCACAGTAATAATTACATACATAATGATTTCCTTTTCGGAGCCGTATTTCACGTATGATCTTAGAACTGTACCAGACAGGTGAAAAGACCACAAGGATGCATTTCAGCGGCTGACACATGGGTCAGGAACTAGATCCTCGTTTTATATTTAGGATGCGATTCCTTGTTACTGTATTTAGGACTCTTAGGAGATTCTCCATCTTCTATTGCTGGTACATAAATGATCTATGGCTGTTTTATCATGGTTTGTGTACTCAGTGGTAACATTTCAGTGAAGACGTTTTTCTTCTCATGTTCATATTTCTATCATTCCCGATGTTTACTTGTGTTTGAGTAAATGCTGGTTTTTGTTTCCAGGATAGATACTCATGTGATTATCTCACCTATACAAAGTCTCAATAAATGCCGAGATGTTGATGGCCCATTGTCTAGGAAAACTAAGCATTTGGAAACTTTTTTTTCAGCACCACAAAAGCTGGTTACAACCAGAAATTAACCACACAATGCACTGGAAGACAAGAAAAGCTGCAATTTTATCTAGAAATAGCAATATTTATAGAAATTATTCTACAGCAGCCTGTCTGATTCTGTGTGCATTTATAACTGCATATTGCTGTCTGAGCTTGTGGAAAGCTGCAGTTTTACACTACCATCATGGAGAACAGAAGATGGAAGACCATTCATCTAGACTGGACAGTAGTCAGAAGTGGAAGCTATGTAAATGACCATGCTAGGAGACCATTTTCCCACTTCTGACAATATGAAGAGAGAGGGAAAGTTGGGAGTATATTTTATTCTGCAGACAATTAGGGACTATACATTTTGATTTTTCCATCCCCAGCTGCTGAAAAGCCAAGGACAGATTCCTTGTTCCTGGTGGCAGGAGGAGCTTGCAGACCACTGCCAGGATGGCCATAAGTGATGATGGAAGTGCCCTGAGGAAAATCTTGGTGTCTCTTGCAGTTGCAACGTTCAACATCAATTTGAGATGAAGATCCTTTGGGAACCCAACAGGTGGTAATTGCTTGTCCCAACAAATTCTCATTAACTCTCTCACGACAACAGTTATCATGTGAATATCAATTTTGTTCCTCCATATCTACTTAGTTTGAGGAGTGTATTTTGAAAGTACTAAATAATTAATATTGACTTTATTTTAATAAACATCTATGATTGATTTACATTCATAGTTAAAGTTTAATATATTTCTAGATGTGTGTATGGTATCAGGTTAGTGCTGTCTATCAATATACCTATTCTGGATGGGAGCTTAATTTAATATCCAGAAAGGGAAACTGTCGGGAGGGGTAATTTGCTTTAAGTGTTCTCTAGGCATCTAAATTCCATTTTTCCCATTTCTGGGGATATTCAGTCAGCTCACTTTTTTTCATGAGCCAGTTTGAGTCTGTATCTTGAGTATCCAGGGACACTGTCTGCACTCTGCATCAAAGGATGGCCTCTGCTTCTCACTTTCATCAGGAAGGAGGATTTAAACCTGCACCCCTACCATAGTGAGTAAAATAGAAACCTGTTCCACAACACCAGGATAATGGTAACTGGCAACAAAACTCACAAACCTTATCAAGTCCAAACCTGACACTATGTGTGGTATCTCAGTTATCTTTAACAGGTTGTTAACTCTTTTAGTCTGAAGTAACGCAAGGTCCATGTGTATCATCACAACACAGTGTGTGTTGTTTCATGTTTGGTCTGTGTGCACTAAAGAAATGTGGTTAAATATTTGATGAAGCAGTCCAGTTTATTTTGTGTCTTTGAATGTGACACACTGATGCTTTCTCTCTATGCTTATATTGTGCCAGATTGGGTTTCAACTGTGAAATCAACTGGGACTGAAAGAGTACTAAATGAGTTATGGCTGCAGAAATATATTACTGATTACAGTTTTATGTGCTGTTTAAAAATATTTTCTATAAAGAACTTACGGTAGCATCTTGGTCAACAGCACTGACTGTAGAATAGATGGCAGAGTTAACTGGCTGGTTCTCTGAAATGGCTGGCACATTGTAAGGTGTGTTGACAAACCGAGGAGAGAAGCGATTGCGTGTTACATAAAGTCTCACTGTTGCCATGTCAGTTTTCTGTGGCTGTCGGTTGTCGCGACATATTACTGTCAGCTGTAGGAGTAACAAAATCTGATGTTAGTGTACAGTTAATTACACAACATAATTTTAAAAAAATACAGAGCAATACAAGAAGTCGACACCTGTGTATGATTGAATGAGGGCAATATGAATAGTTACATTAAAATAAAAATATCATAAAAATATTTCTAACCGAATGGACAGTAGAACCAGTAATCAGCTTCACTTTACAACAAACACAACAAACAAAAAACGTTAAGGCTAGAGAGCCTTCATCAGCACATTACATGAATATACAATACCAGAAAAATGAACAAGAATACACAAAATAAACCTGATTAAAAAAAATACAGTGCAGACGTAGTTATAGGGGCACAAACAGACAGTGGCAGTTCTGGGAGGGTGAGAGACGTGAGGGATGGGAGATTATTAAATTGTAGTAAGGCTTTCAAAAATATCATTTAAAAAAAAAGCAGCACAACTTTAAAGTGCTGCTATACCCACCATAGATGAGAAACGAGTACAAATGCTGAATATACTTAATAATATACTTTTAATATTGATAATCTGTTGTTTTGTATACTTCAATACATCTTGTGTGTGTCGGTGATGATGGAGTGTCTTTGGTAGAATTTCTGTGATACAGGTTCTTTAGTGGTATTTCTATCATGGGTTTTCAGTGGTAGAATTTCTGTTATACATTTTCTATAGTGGTATTTCTATGGTGGGCTTTCAGTGGTAGAATTTTTGTGATACAGTCTCTGTAGCAGAATTTCTATCGTGGGCTTTCTGAAATTAAGTTAAATATCAATACACACAAACATAATTAAAAACTGTTTCTGACCATTGCTCAGATTTTGTAATTATGAGTATATGCCCTCACATTATGCTAATGTATACCTTATACTATACAATGATTTGCTACCTATCTTTCTATCATTACCTACACAGACAAATCTATAGCGCCAATTTGATATTTGAATTAAACCTTCAGCCATACTAGTAAGAGAAAAAACTATAATCACTATCATGGATGAGCAATTGCCTGGTATGTTGGTTTAGTCATTGCTCTTCTCCTTGCTATCTTTGCCTCCACTATTAAGTCCCTTTTTCTGATTAAAACCCAGTTCCAGCGCTAGACCAACTTTAATGATACAACACATATAACTCAAGTAAAATTATATCATTCATAACTAAAATTAAACCTATAGCTAGTACGATCAGCTTGTATTCACCATCACTGTCAAAACAAACAAACAAACAAACAAGCACACAACACACACACAAACACAAAGACAATAGCAGGGTTATATCCTGCAGCTTCCCCAAACTATAAACACACAAAAAGTATATTCACCACAAATGGTGTGATCTGTCTGGCTGGGTCTGATGTCAAACTTTTGATGACAATAATTCTGAAATTGGTTGGGATGATGTCAAAGTACTCCAGAGCCTTCGTATCCACATTTGTTCTCAGAAAAGAGCAGGTCACGTTGTCCTGGAGATATCAAATTATAACAATTGTATTATTTTAACTTTGAATCAAAATGTTCAGAAGTTCTACACTTGATCACATTTTACACTCCATCTTATTCTTATGTTCATTAAACAGATATAAACTGAAATATACATTAAAATCGTAATCAAAATAATACCAAGTTAAGTTTTAAAACAAACAGAACAGAAAACTATTAGCTCTAGAAACTGAATTAGAAATAAGATACATACACAGTTCATATAAAAGATATTCTAAAATTGCCCGGCTCTCTAGCATAATTGGCTAAACAGGATTGTGCAGAGACAGGGTGACGAACTCCTTGTGGTCCGGGTTCAATCCCGGGGGTAGGCAGGAAAGCCACATTTTCTTCCAGATTTACGGTATTTACAACGGAATCAAGGCCGAAAGGTTGCGATATCCATAATACCGAGCTTAAGGGGTAACAACTCATGGCTTCTGGATACTTAAAACAAACAAAACTTATTCTAAAATTGTGTGCAAACAAAGAATCAAGAGACCTACAAACAAATATAGTCCCAGTGTGGGTTCAAGGGCTCCATTGTGTGGAAAAACGAAGCAAAGAATAGACCCACTGCCCCCCTAACAAGTGTGTCATAAGAGTCGACTAATTAGGGATGTTGCCTCTGAAGTCAAAGTGCATCTGCCTGAGAGACAAGGAACCAGCAGTCTGCATACAAATAAGCCAGACTTTTAAAATGATGTGCATGCAAAATTTGGGCTCTAGAAAAAAGACTGAAGTCCAGCAATGGATGAACAACCAGAACTTTCCGCCAGAGTTTACAGCCGGTAAATGAAAAGAAGAAGAAGAACAGACTATATCATGTAACTAATGACCTTTTTTTGGCCCAATGATGATGCTACTATTGAAAATTAACAGTCTATTCATTGATTGCTTTATGTATTTCTTGTTTTATTTGTAATTTTTTGGCATAACTTATGTTCAGCTGTTTATGTTTGCCCTCTTTCTGATAATCCATGCATTAAGGCCATTGCAGTCCTGTCTATTTACAGCTTTCTGTCTTGTGTACTATTTATTAATTCTGATTCAAATGATCTTCCATGCCACTATGTCAAACTATCCAGCATTTTCTCTGTCTTTCTCTGCGTTTTTTTTCTTAATCCTTCCAACCTTCCCACCTCTACAGTTTAGACCAGTTTTCTACCTCTCATTACATGAGCAAATAATGTCTCCTTCGGATGTGGGCAATCGGATTTTCTTTTTAAATTTAGTGTTAATCAAATCTAAAAAAAAATAATTATTTTATGAGAGCATCTAAACAATCATATCTTGGGTAAAGAAAAGAACAAATGCATCCATACTTCAAGAGCTGAATATTGAAGAGGGTTGGCTAGTAAAGACAATAAAACAAAGAAAATTGAAATATTTTGGTCACTTGAAACGTCATGGAGGTCTAGAGAGAACAATAATGGAGGGGTATATGCCTGGGAAGAGAGGAAGAGGAAGGCCAAGGAGAAGATGGGTGCAGGATGTGGCAGATGATCTCCAGATGGGTGTATCAGACGCAGGACATCTTGCTCATGATAGGAAGGTTTTCCGGAGGGTTGTTATGGCAGCGAGGTTCCGCGAGGGACATGCTACTGAATGAATGAATGAATCTAAACAATCACTCACTCCATCTGGATCTGCAGCAGACACATTAAGCGGGTTGAAGCCAACAGGTTCACGTTCGTTAAAAGTAGCATTGTACTCTCTGAGGCCAATGACTGGACCAGTTGGATTTCGTATAATGCTCACAGTTATTGTAGCTGTACCACTCAACTGTGGTCTGGCATCATCGTAAACAATGGCAATTACCTGCAATGAAATCATTTCATATTACAATAATCTTTTCTCAGTACTTCAAACATTCTCATATATTTCCCCACAACAAATCACTGCAAGTGTATACTATATATTACATAACTGTTTGTGTGTCTGTAATATCAGTGGGGAAAGTGATTTGTAAATTCAGTTTTAATAACCACAGAGAATCTAAAGTGCATGCACTTATGTATTAATTTAACTGTTATATTTTGCACTGTCTATTGTTCTCATTTCAAACAAATATGTAATATGCTCTCGTGTGTGTGTGTGTGTGTGTGTGTGTGTGTGTGTGTGTGTGTATACATATATATATGTGTGTGTGTGTGTGTGCAGTGCATGTATGCGTGAATTGCTTATAATGGGTTTTTCCTCTATTAGTACTGAATAGTTTTTTGCTCAATCATTTTGTAAGAATGATAAATAAGACAACAACAACAAGAGAAAAAGGTGCAGAGGTTGAAAGAATTTGAGACAAAAGATAATCCAGCATGAAACATCAAGAGAATGAGAAATGAAGTCCCATCAAGTACTACATCAACAGCTACAAGCTCTACTCACTGTGTATGTCACATCATCATCAATGACCAGAGTTTTGTTGACAAACAGAGTGCCAGTACTATCAGGCTGGCTATTGGTTCTCCTGATACTGAAATACTCTGCTCCAGAATACAGGCCAATGACTCTGTACTGTAGGTTCCCCTGTTAGACAGCAGCAAAGTAACGAAAACTTGGTAGAAATATTACCTTAAGGTTTCTTTACACCTGTAACTCAACAAGGTGATTACTAGAGGATTAAATACAGATAATCTGTCACTCACAGCTACCTGAATATACATTATTTCATTTGTTCAACTTTTTCAGTAACAATGAACGCATCATACATTTATAGACTCTAATCTAGAAGCCCATTGAATGCAAGATGTGCTGATTTACCTGTCCTTGGGCCTCTGATGCTAAAACCCCGGGTACTGAAAGAGTTAATGAACACAATTATTTCTCTTTTTCTCACAATGTAATATTTTCTCTTTCTCTTTTTCTCACAATGTAATATTTTCTCTTTCTTTTTTTCTCACAATGTAATATTTTCTCTTTCTTTTTCTCACAATGTAATATTTTCTCTTTCTTTTTTCTCACAATGTAATATTTTCTCTTTCTTTTTTCTCGCAATGTAATATTTTCTCTTTTTCTTTTTCCCACAATGTAATATTTTCTCTTTCTCTTACAATGTAATATTTTCTCTTTCTTTTTTCTCACAATGTAATACTTTCTCTTTCTTTTTTCTCACAATGTAATATTTTCTCTTTCTCTTTCTTACCTACTCCCTCTTTCTCATTTCTTTCTGTCACTGCCTCTAAACCTCAAACTTTTCTTATATACATACTAATACAAGAAAAAGATTCTATACTAACTTCCTAACATGCCTCACTACAGGGACACCTGCCAATGGCCCCCCAACCCCCCTCAAAATACTGAGACAATGTTTCAGTGCTGCACTCACCTGTCGATCATCATCACGACCATACACTGTGAATGTCGACTGCAGCTCAAAGGCATTCTCCGGGACTGCTGACCAGGTGTAGGTGGCAGGAGAGAAATATGGAGCCAGGTCTGTGGTCACTGTAAACCGAATCATGGTTGAGCATGTCTTGGGTGTTGGGACACCTTGGTCACTGACTATTACTGTGAACTGAACAGAGAACAAGCTTTCTGTCAATGATTAGGTGGATATTCATATACATGATCTTAATGTCTAGTAGTAACATTCAGTTAAAATATTAAGATGACTGGTTGGAGGAAGGCTAATATGAGAGAGTTGTTTTCTATGCAAATTTATAGAAATGAGGCAGGCTGAGAAGACCACACCTATGATTAAAACTGACAAATATGAACTGTGTGTGATGTTTAACTTTATGTATTTAGTTTCTAATGTCAATTAATAGATTTACTCTAGATTTAGATATTTGCAACAACTAAAACAAACCTAAAAAATGTTAAAAAAGAAGTTTTTTAAGTCGGATTGGTGTAAACAAAAAAAATATATCGTCTAGTGTGGTCAAACCAATAAACATTTTTACACCATACTAACTGTCCGGACACTTACAGTGTAAATATTGGTTGTTGCAGTGTTCAGTGGCTGAATCAGTCTGATCTGTCCATTGGTTGGATCCAAATAGAAGTAGTTACGATCTACAGGGTCAGTATTGGTGGGATCAAAGGTGTACAGAAGTCTGTCCTGAAAACAAGAATTTTCACATTAGATGAATCATGGGAAAATACTAGTCATCCTGCAAGAGAAATATCAACACAAAGATCATGTATTCTGTGAGCTAAAGGTAATTATACCTGATCAGCGTCAGTGTTGTCAAGTGTGAGCCACAAATACCTTGGCAGACTGGTGACACTTATGAATCTATTCAAAAATTGTTCGACATGCAATCTTCTAACAGATATAACAACTGTAACAGTTTTTAACAATGTGGAAGTTGTAGGCAGTACGCAACATATCTGAGATATGTCTACACAACAAAAGTAGAATATGGAACATCTGTGGCATGTTAATAGTACAATGGTGTGTTATCTAAATGGGTGGGGGGGGGGGGGGGGGGAGAGTAATACTGAATACCACTTGAGCCATAATTTAACTCTTTCTAACCTAAAGTAGTTTGTAACAGGTGAACAAGCTGGAGAAAAAAATAGCCTCCCCCAAGCATTTAATATCCTTCTGAACTGCTTAAACACACAGTTGATGTGGCCAATGGAAAAACATATTTCTTAAATTTTCTCTCATCAAAGTTTTAAAAAACAAATTGATGACACCTGGTCATGTGCATACAAATTATTTTTTGCCTGCTAAAAAAAAGTGGGTACACGTTTTATGCAAGAACTTAAAAACAAAACGTAATGACTGTATGAATTTGTATGGTATCTTAAGATTTAGGGTTAAGTTGAGTATGCCTATTATGCACAAGTGCTTATCACACATGAGATTTTTATGGTAGGAGAAGACATAAGGATGTTTAAATTCAAAGGGATGACCCAGTGACACAGACAGTGATATTCAGAAGAGGAGGAAGGTAATAAAACTTTTAACAGATCAATTACTTTACTGTACTCATATCTTGAGCCTGTTAATGGGGCCATGATATTAATCAATCATGAGACCAGATTAGTAGGCTAGCTAAATGACTATGGTGGCCTTGAGGCAGTCAGTGAGACTGACCATTGATGTCTTAGTTTAAAAAAAAAAAGACAAAACCAAACTGTACTTACCCCATCAGCATCAGTGGCAGAAACTGTAGTGAGAACATCATTGATTCTGGAACTGACATCAAGTGACAAGCTAATGTTCGCTACCTGACATTGAGGTGCACTGGGATTTCGAGAAGTGGTCACTGTCAAAGTTTTCTCATCAAAGGCATTGGGGAATACAGAGTCCCATACTCGGAACGTCAGCTGAAATCATGTTATATAAAGTAACCATTTACAACTAAAGACTGTTTAACATATTAGGGATGAATAATCATTCATCATTATTTTAAACAAAACTACCATCAAATGCAGATACAACTTGTTAATGTAAGAAATGATAAAAACAAAACAAATTAAGGAATCATTTTTTTTAAGCACCTGTAGCTCATCAAGCATTTGAGACTAGACTCATGTTGACAGACCAATGGGGACTTGTTGGGTAATGTGGTGAACATCACTGGGTAATGTAGTGACTATCGCTGGGTGATGTGGTGAATATCGCTGGGTAATGTGGTGAACATCGCTGGGTGATGATATGGTGAACATCACTGGGTGATGATGTGGTGAACATCACTGGGTGGTGATGTGGTGAACATTGCTGGGTGATGATATGGGTGAACATTGCTGGGTGATGATATGGTGAACATCGCTGGGTGATGATATGGTGAACATCACTGGGTGGTGATGTGGTGAACATTGCTGGGTGATGATATGGTGAACATCGCTGGGTGATGATACGGTGAACATTGCTGAGTGATGATGTGGTGAACATTGCTAAATGATGATGTGGCGAACATTGCTGGATGATGATGTGGTGAACATCGCTGGATGATGATGTGGTGAACATCGCTGGATGATGATGTGGTGAACATCGCTGGATGATGATATGGTGAACATCGCTGGGTGGTGGTATGGTGAACATTGCTGGGTGGTGATGTAGTGAACATCGCTGGATGATGATGAGGTGAACATCGCTGGGTGATGATATGGTGAACATCGCTGGGTGGTGATGTGGTGAACATCGCTGGTTGGTGATGCGGTGAACATTGCTGGGTGGTGATGTGGTGAACATCGCTGGGTGGTGATGTGGTGAACATTGCTGGATGATGATGAGGTGAACATTGCTGGGTGATGATGTGGTGAACATCGCTCAGTGATGTGGTCAACATCACCCCACAAACATCATCTACCAGCACCTATTGTACAGAAAATGATCTCTCTGTGCTAGTTTGTATTCTGCTACTGCTAGCATGTGTCAGGATAGTCTGTGGCCAGAGATATTTAACTGTCCTTGTGGTCACTGTTCTATGTGTAGTTGTCACTGTTCTATGTGTAATCTGACAGAGAGAAACTCAGTAGGCCTATAAGTTGAAAACTTTTGTAGCCAGATCAGAACACTGGGATCTAATCAGCTAACAACAATTTCTAATCCAATACCAAGTGATGAATTCAATTTGTGGCAAAATGGTTGTCACTTATCTTGTGCTATCAAGTCATAAGTTTAGTTTCAGACTACACATTTTAGTTTCTAAGCTTCAGTGATCTCTGGGGGGTCAGTGGTGGAGTTACAGAGTTTCATGCTTTGTGTGATGCTCTTATTCAGTGGCCAACTGCACTACAGAGGTAGGCTAAGCTGTATAGGATGTAACTCAGCACAATAAAGTCAATTTCCTCCCATTTAGAAAATCCATTTCTATACCAAGTTTTGAATTTTCTATTTTAAAAATACAAGTGACTGCGTAAGAGACTGCTATTCAAAGCAAATGCTTGGGTAGATTAATAATAACTGTTATTCAAAGCAATTGCTCTAGTAAAATTATGAACATTTATTGATCAAATTATCTCAGAATTATTGGTTTATAAATTACCAAATTATACTATACTGAAGTCCTAAAAGTATTTTGTTTTTCAAATTAAAAGATACAAAATAAGTAGAAAGAAATTAAAGAAATCTTACAACATAGGCTTCAGAGCGCAGAGCATCCATCAAGAGTGATCGGTCTAAGTTGACCTGGCCAACAACATTGTTACCGGTTCCACTAGTTGTTAGTGAAAAGAAGTTCCCATAGCCTTGTACCAGTGAGTATGTCAAGTTTCCCTGAAATAAACAGATAGTACAACTTTACCTTTATCATGAACAAACACTGTCAACACTGTGTATATGGCTCCAGATTGTAACAGTAAGCTATTTCAATGTATACTTAAATAAACTCTATATTCAGGTGGACACAATATATTCTTGTTGGTAATGTAGTATAACTGTCAAGGCCAGTGGCAAATATCAATACACTTGCAAGAGAAATATTTTTTCTGTATGTCAGTACCGTAAAATTGTTACACTGCAACAGAAAGGAGATAAAGTTAATAACTGCAGAAATTTAGACAGATAATGCTAGACAAGAAATATATCCAGAACAGTGAGAGTAAAACTAATCAGTGTCTAGTAGAGTAAACAGTGTCTGGTAATGAACTAGTATGGAAAATTTAAACGTAAATTTTAATCAAAGCAATGTTTCCCGTTGAGA